ATCTTTATCATATACTATACCACCAACACCAGAAAATGGTGCATAAATTAAACGTTCCTTTTCTACTAATGCTCGTTTTTTTAATTCTTCTGGCAAAGGACATGGATCTGGTAAGAAAGTAATATCTTTAATTTTTAAATCTCCACAGCCAGGAATATGTATAGATGTTTCTTTGTTTAGTGGAATTCCTCTTACATATCTATAAATATTATAAAATATAAGATTTATATTGAAAATTTAAAATACATAAAACATAAATAAATACATAAAACAATATAAATTTTTACATACCCATATAAACTTACTGTCCTATCAATTTTTGGATTTTGTCTAATTAATTCTGGAGATGTTAAATCTTCTACTCTATCAGCCAAAATATAAGAATGCATGTTACGCCAAGTTAATGGCCTAAATTTCATAACAGAAATAAATCTAGCTAAATTTTTTACTTCTGTGCGTAAATATTCTCCATGAATTAATCCAGACAGATAAAATAATTTTGCTCCAGCATAAACTTCTGTCCAAAATCTCTGTTTCAATGTTTTTTTTATTCTTTTTAATTGCTTAACATTTTTTATTAAATCTAAATGAGTTAAAATACCCATAATTCTAGGCATACCATGAACCTGGCAAATATTTAAAAATTCAAATATTTCCATCTCAAAACCAAAAGATGCATCTATTAAAAGCAATACTAGATCTGCTATTTTAGCAATGTCTATCATACTGTTTATATCATTGTTGCATTCTATGAATGTAATTCTTCTTTTTTTACCAGAAACAATAGTAACAGGACCAAGAATATTAGTCAATGGTTGTTTTACATAACTCTTAATAAGACATTGAATTACTAAAGATTTTCCAACTTTTGGAGGACCAACAACAGCAACTAAAATAGGAGGTGGTTCAAGAGGTGTTCTATCAACCAATGGTATATGTTGTTTTTTTGTTTCGATATCTTGTTTTCGTCTAAAGCGTCTTTCTGCTTTAATAGCAGAATTAAATGTAAATGCTTTCGGATTTTTTTGTTTATCTGTGAGTTCTTGAACATGTTCTTTCTTTTCTTTTAACTTCGATCGCTGTTTTGTCGACATCATTAAATATTTTTAAATGTAACAATATATCTTCAGAAATATAATATCTCACGTCGTAATTCTTATATAATACTGTAATTATAAATAATGCTATATTATATTATTATAATAATTATTCCGTAATTGCAGATTTCACTTTAACATTAAGGTTATTGGTAACATTCTTATTTAAGTATTTACTTTCAACTGCCAACTTACCAGCATTGCACTTAAATTTCTCATGTATATTAATGTATATTAACAAGATGCAATATTTAAAAATATTTCGATATTAAATAATTATTTTAATAGTGAATAAATAATATAATTTTCAATAAAATATTAATAATATAGACATAAACGTTTATCACGTGGTGACTATGAAAATTGAATATTATTGAAAATTATTATTGAATAACTTCATTTATAATCTTTATTATAAAAAAATTATAAAAGTTATAATTTGTGAATAAAATAATCTAATATTTTCTAGTCATTTGTTAATAAAATAATAATTAGAGAAATTTATTATATTACTGAAAAATATTTTATAAAATTTCACATTACTCATTTAGTACTATCTTTTCACCGCTAGATGGTTCTAGTATTCTGTTTTGATATAATATTAAATTTTATTTTTATTTAATGCAATTTTTCGAAAAATTTTATGAATGAAGATCTAAAAATTTTTATAGATAGAATTGTATCATTTGAAAAATATAAAAGAACAAAGATCAGGGAGTTTATATATTAGAACGGAATATCATTCATGTTATCGTTATTTCCCTTGGGTCAGACGGTTCTAGATTTCGATTGAAAAGTCATCGATCAAAGGTATCTTAATTCATACAATGGCCGATGATGTAAAATTTGGAGATATGATCGATCGTTGTTCAGTGTTCGGGGCAATGAGCTGGTTAACCGGATGCAACGCTACATCACTCTATAGAAGTAAAAATGAACAAAATTAAGATTTAAAAATAGAAGTATACCGCGATTGTTCCGGTCTGTCAAATCGGTTCGTGACAGCTGTCATCTATGAAAATCACGCCTAAAAAAATTGTTTAATATACGACCGCAGATTCACGACGGTTTGCACAGCACTTGTTTTCAATTGAGATATTTTGAACCACAGCGAATTACTGTGACGATTGGGGTGGCTTTTAAATGGGAGTTTAATTTTAGGGTGTGCACATTTCCATTCAACTTCACAAATATATATATATTCATTATATCAAGTTAATTAAGTTATATTTTCCTATCTTTTCTTAATACGATGAAAATGTACAATGCTTTTTCTTGAAGATTAACGTTTTTAATATAGATGGGAATCAATTTAATTGAAATTGGATTGAAGACATGAGAAAGTAATTGTAAATTAATTTTTGGTTAGGAATTGAATTTAATTCGATGGATCTGTAATTTGAGTTGGACAACAGTTAATCGAGGATTTGATTAATTGTGAAAGGCAAGTCATACTATGGCACAGATGGTATCGAACGATGTGTTCTATGACTTGTCGAATTTTCCGACGTTAAAGATATGATAAACTTTGTTCCAATTACTTGTTCAAAAAAAAAAAAAAAAAGAAAAGAAAAAAAAAAAGAAAAAAGAAAAATAAAAAAAAGAAAGCAAAATAAAATTGAAGTTAGTTATACATAAAATCGATCAGTTAGTTAACACATAAAATCGAAGAAATGGTATGGTATGCGTAAAGAAAAACAAGTAAAAAGGTTTGCAAGAATAAAATGTCAAATATGTATATTTATAAATAAAATCATAGAGACTGATATTTATCATTTTAGATCAACCGTCGTAATATGATCACCGATAAATTTACGCGGATGTGTAGAAATAATGTAAAGCAATCGGCAATAAATTCATATTTCCGATCAGACAGAAGAATAGTACCAACAAATCGTAAAGCAATCGAACACGCGGGCTGGCATATGCGCACGCGTTGCTTCGAACTTAAGTATTCTGAACAATATCAGCCAATTATCGAACAATTGTGTCGCGGCGCCAACTGTCAATGTCGATGGTCAACTAGTCGATCGGTGGAGGGAGTGACCACTGGTCGAATCGATATACGCGGTCCATCACCCTTCGTTCTGATCGAATTTCGAAGCTTTGTTTTTGCAAGGAAGATCACACTGGACAAGAGCATCTAGTCGATTACGTTCATGCACGAATGCGACTAATTTTATGCGTGTTTGCTTTATACCAAACGTTCGTTGTTTATCCAAGAGATGGACCGATCATCGGACAAATCCACTCGACGATTTCGCGCGCACACATCGATTGAAATTATGAATATAACTATTTGTAGGTTAGGTCAAAATCCATAAATTAATTTTTTTTTTTTTTTTTAATGATTCGTTTGTTCAGATACAATGTCTTATAAGTCGAGGCACAATCCTTTCGAAAATGCGAATGTAGCAATGTAAAGAAGAAACGTGAATGGTAGGTTACAGTAGGTTCAAACTTGAGACACACGCACGTACGTGGTCAACGAGATTCGCGGCACGCGACTTCACGTGCGCAAGTCGTGTGCAGACCGGAAACAACAGTCAAATATGTACTTTGCTTTCATTCCGATACCACTCTGTCATAAAACGATTCGAAGCATGGTACTCATATTTCTTGTAAACAGAGTTACAGTTAAGTTTTTTAATAAATCATACATGTGAATATTCGATATAAATATATAAAGAGAAAAAAAAATCAAAAAATTGATATTAGAATATGAGATTTCGGAAATCAAAAATGAGATAGTGATCGTTCATTTTTGATAAAAAGTTACGAATAGTAAGTACGAATCATAATTAAGTTGGGTTTATTCCCTTAAACTATTATAGACGGCCACCTCACCGATAATCATGCGAGCGCGTGTCGCGCGCGATTGCCGCGTGAGAAAGTTCTATCGTAATCGCACCCTCGTAGTCAACCACCCTCCCCTATAAATTGGTAAGTTACTAACACAATCGCGAATTCGAGAAATATATAACAGAGAAAAAGAATTTTGACTTATAATCGCTAATTTTTTCGATAAATTTCAATTTTCTTCAATTCAGTGTCCATTGTAACAGGTATATATTCGGTCAAAAGGGGAACGAAAGTAGAAATGTAATCGAATGGTTCGATAGTTCCAGATTTCGCGAAATCTTGCACCGACATAGACGAGGGTAGCACAGCGTGCGACCAGCTAAGCGCCACGAGCGTTCCCACGAAAATCGTCCCTTCTGATCACCACTTTCCTCCCCCTTGATGTCTCGCTCTCTTTCGTATCCCCCTATACCCTTCACGTAGGGTTCGAAATATAGAGGGAGAAAAAGAGAGCGGCCGGTTTTCACCTTGCGATCGAGAAGCGGAACAGAGAAGTTTCCCCCTCTCAAAGGAGGCGCGGCACACCTTCGTTCCCCCACCATTGGATCTACCATTGGGTCGGGGGACGAAACGGGGCACGCGGTCGTGTGTCGTCCCCAAGTCCTCCCGCACACGACATACGTCGGCCGCCACGCGACCAGTGCACACGCCTGTGAGTGGTGCGCGTTTCGCAACACCGTCTAACCTATCGCGAGTCCGTTTTGCGCGCGTAATACACGCGACCGCGAATCTCCTCGGGAAGCCGCGGCACGTGAACGCGATCAACTTCCGAACAACGAACGATAATAGTTACTTCTTTTCACAGTGATTCTATTCTCCAGTTTTACACCTACCTAAAGTTTCTTCTTACGAGTTTCTTCAATAATATATCCGTTGATTATGGATCGAAATATTCAAACCTCCGTTTGATCTGCGTTTTCTTTTTTCTCTTTTTTACCAAGATCTAATAATATTTTTTGTGAAAGTGTCGACAATCGTTAATTGGAAGATATATCGTTTGAAAAAGAATTATTATTGTAGAAAAAAAAGAAAAAAGGAAAAATGTGGAGAGTAGTGGTCGCACGATCGGACGAGAATAGCACGTTGCTGTCATCGGAGATTGGCTCCGGCCCGGTGGGTCCAAATCACATTCCTAGCCTCTCTGGTCCACCTTCCGGCCATCACCATCATCACTGGGGCTATCCACCGCCACCCCATCCATCTTATCAGCCGCAACATTCCGACGTATCGCGGCATCATCACGATCCCCGTCCGCCTCATGACCTTAGGCATCCGGCCACGGCTACCGCCGAGCTCAGACCTCAAGAGATCAGACACGAGATGCACAGGCCTGATCTGAGGCACCAGTCAGCGGCGGAGATGCAGCGGCACCAAGCATCGGAGTTGCACAGGCCAGAAATGGCGAGGCATCATCAGGATTTGACGGGGATGAGGCCGGACATGGCCACGGAAATTAGATCTAGTCACGAGTTTCCGGACCTCAAGATCGACGTCGCGGATATTAGGAATCAGGAGAGCGGGCAACAGCAGCAGCAGCAACAGCAACAACAGCAACAGCAACAAGCGTCGCAACAGGGTCAAGCTCATCAACAGAGAAGTCTGAAAAGAACTATGAGCGATTCCGATTGCGACGACGTGTTCTCCGAGGAGAGCGGCAAAGAGCCGTAAGTAAACGTGTTCAGTTTCATATTTTGACATTTTAATAACCGACATATGTTCAACCGCCGGTCGAACAATTAAGGTTTCATTGTTTTTTCGTAAGGGAAAAAAGCGATCCTTGATTGAAATAAATAAATTCATCATGTGCTGTATAATTGAATATATTCTTGCCTATATACGTTGATTTATATTATTATCCATTTATTTTTCATTATTCCGTACAGTTGCAATTCACCGGGAGGCGATTCTTGTCAGCACGCGTCGCGAAAGCGAAGAAGAGGAATGATCGAAAAGAAACGTCGTGACAGAATAAACGCGTCTCTCGGTGAACTTCGTAGATTAGTGCCGGCAGCGGCTAGAGATCCTCATAGCGGGAAATTGGAGAAGGCGGAGATTTTGCAGCTCACCGTCGAACATTTACGAACGCTTCGAAACAAAGGTGAGTGTTCGGAAAAAAGGAAAAAAATCTTCATCAAAATCAAATTATATCGAAACGATGTATCCGAGAAACGCACCTTATTTTCCTATTACCGACAGACACCTGTTGACCTGTAGACATGACACATTGATCGCTTAACAATCGTGTGACTCGTGAAACCGAAAAACCATCTGTCGCGCGATAAAACCTTTAAAAATATTTACGATTCTTTACGATTAAACGATAATAATTTTCATCTAAACGCAAATTCAAAAAAAAATACGATACGAGATATTACGAAAATAGAAAAAAAAAAATTATTATTCGCAAAAATATATATATATATCTCGCGTTAATAAGATAAGTATCAAGATTCGAAAGGGAAGAGGTGAACGAGATATCCTTGGAGAGAAGCAGGTGCTGGAGCCGAATCCGAGCGGAGATCCTGTGGGAAGCACAGGAAGTCAACGACTCTTCCGAAGTGGTGTTCCCACGATTGGTGGCGTGTTAGGTAGTAGTGGGGTGTCCTGCGTGGCACCCTTCGTGAAGGAGGCACTGGGTTGCCCACGGTCGGGGCAGATGTCGAACCCTGTGGGAAACCGACTCTCGTTTTATATCTACGCGCTTACACACACACACACACACATCTATAATATACTCTACGTGCCGCTACCTATCCATGTTTGCCGATCAACAATCGCTTTTCTCTTTAAATATTCCACTCTTTGCTTTCTCTTCCCAAAATATTTCCCTCCTCTCCGATGTAACAATCATATTTCTATCTTATATCAGATGAAATCAGAATAAATATGTGCAATCGTGCTATATATATATATATATATAACATACATAACATATCACGATCGATGAAACAAATCGTTAATATAATAAAAAAAAGAACATAAAATCGTAATCTTTGGATAACATTTCCATTTGAGCTGTATAATGCTCCGTGATCTAGAGGGGTCTAAACGATTCCCACGCTACCTGTCCTATCCTATGCAGGGTGACGAATCCTAGGTGGAACCACCCTAGTACGTTCTCCCTCTTTCCCAGATCCTTCGTTGCAATTAAATGGGTACGCGTCACGTAAAGATAAGTCAAATGCGAAATCGATGATACGCGATTACCTTCGTGTAATTTTGCAGGCCCTGAAGGGTACGACAGTACGAAATTGGCGATGGATTATCACGCGGTGGGTTGGGGGGAGTGCGCAGCCGAAGTTGGCCGCTACTTGGTCACCATGGAGGGCCTCGACGAGAGAGATCCACTGAGGCTGCGATTGCTCTCCCACCTTCAAAGCTTTCACCGTGAGCATCATCCACCGTCGTCCGCCACCGTTCCTCCTCCGGTGACCAGCTTGAGTTCGACCTCGACGAGTACCAACTACGAGACGGGGAGCACAGTTTCCGCTGGAATGCCACCTGGAGCGGGGACGATGCCACCCCTTCTGGGTGGAAGCGCTCTCGGATGGGGCCAGTATCCAGGACAATATCCTCAACAGCAACACGGAAAACCTTACAGACCGTGGGGCGCCGAATTGGCCTATTAAATTTTACGCATTCTTCGATTCATCTTCCCATCCACCAATATTTTTCAATTCGCGAAAATTTTCATATCGTTTCCTATGTCGGTTTCTTCACGATTCAATATTAAATTTTTAACGAAAGCAATTTGGTTGTGTCAGGTATCGAGAGATTTTTCCAATTCGAAAAGAAAGAATTTCGTCGTCAAGATTTATTTCGCGATATATATGATACAAGAGGTACGTGTACAAGAGCGAGTAGTGAGTTTAAAAATTATTTATTATTCGACTCGATTCGTCGAATTTTTCGAACGAACGATTATTTTGTACAGTATGTATATATACATGTGAACGGATTATTGTAAATAGTGGAAAGTGATCGAGCTCGTACTTTTTCCGTATTTCTATCTTTTTTTCTTTTTGTATTTTGTATCATTGTAATGGACGCAATTTGATCGTTTGCCGATCGTTCGATAAAAATCGAACGATCGTTCGAATGATCGAACGCGTGAAAAAGTGCCATTAAACGTATCACTGCGTACGTTCTCTCTTTCTCTCTCTCTCTCTCTCTATATATATATATATGTATATGTGAAAAAAAGCGCTCAAATATTTTTGCAATAACATTTTGTAATAAAATAGAGATTATGAGAAATGAAACGATTATAGCAGGTATTCATTGCATCCAATCTTTTCTTTTTTTTACAGCGTTTCACGATCACGAAATCGATCGTTTATAATCAATACTTTGCATAAATTAATCAATACGATTAATCGCTAATTGATTAATTTATAATAGTAAGTAATATTTTCACGCTCGTACTATTTTTACTCTCACTTCTTATCTGTCCCACTTTTTGCTCCATAACTGTAATTTGTCTGTAATGAGAAATTTTGCCAACCATTCTTATGCAAACATTCAGTTTTGCAGCTTGCAGAGAATGAGAATGAGAAATAAAATAAGTATCCCGGTGTTCCTCGAATACGAACCAGTTTTGCGAGCAGTTAAACCTTTCGTTAGAGAATACATTGGCAAAGTGGGAAATTCGCGGGGCTTTTAACGATCGATGGGAACAATTAGCCGCTGCTGGTTTTTACAAATATTTTAAAAAGCTACCTGGGGAACCTAATTATCGTTAGGGAAGAGGAAGAATAGTGCGTGGGCACGTGGCCATTGTTCGAATACCTCTTCCAATCCTTTGCAACCATGTGTAAGTGCGTGACAACTCAAAATTCATCCGTTTCCATGGAACGTTGTTAGTCGTGTATTTTTACGTAGGCAGTTTTTTTACCCTTTAAGAAACTTTCGTTCGATCGTTAGGTACTAGGTGACTAAATCGATCGTAAAAGTGCATGTATACACACGCAGGAGTATATATATATATATATTACCCCTTTGATCGTGACTGCAACTACATTGAAATTGAACGGCATATATTATACTTATTTACACATAATCTGGTGATATACATAGATCTGGTGATCTTATCGCAAACGAAGGGAAACCGAAGTTTATGCAACTATACTAACGACAGAAGTTGTAAGAACATCGATAATCCTCGAGAAAATTATTTTATTTATACGACATTCGCATCCGTTAAAAAGTCACAGCCTCATCGAACATACTTACATTAAAAGAATCGAGACTCGTTCATATATCTATGTACATATCGCACATATCGTGTAACTATATACATAATAATTATACATAAAATTTATGTGATTTTTCTATATACATATCGTGTACAAATCGTATATCTAAAATCATAATTTTCGAAAAATATTTTACGAAAAAAACGAATAAATGATTCGATACAATCAATTTTTTTTTAGTTATATAAAAATTATGCAATTTGAGAACAATACTGTGAGAAAAATAATATTATATACCTTGCATTCATTGCAATGCACTTTAACATATATAGTATGTATTCTATATTATTTTAATTAAGCAGTGAAATTTTCAAAATTAAATCTATTCTACTACAACAATGATATTTTTATGTACATCGTGTGAGAAAATATAATATTTTCACGGAAAATATTTTCAACGACGAATATCTTAATATCTTAAAATTACCTCGCTGGTAACAGATTATCGACAGATAATTCGTATATACATACGCGTACATCGATAGTTTTTAAAACGATAGAAGAAGATAAGAAACTTCTTTTCTTTCTGCACTTTTCCTCTTTTCTCTCTTTTGATTAAACGATTAAAGTATTTATCAAATTGAGATGATAAATAAATAAGTACTAAGCAAAAAAACTAATATATAAATCGTGATATACATATAATCGTTCTGTGGTAAAACTGATAGGTATATCGTCTTTTATCTTTTATATGAATAGTTCAATATCATAAATAAAAATAACTATATAATAAGCTTAATTTAGAATGTGTGCATATTTATAATAGTATAATATCATTTTGAAAAACGCATTAACCTATTATGAAAAAATATAACCTCTTAAACGGTTCGTTGCATTAATCATTATTTAAAAAAAAGTATCTTATTTACGTTTGATAAAAGAATGTGATTTTTTATGGTCCTCTCAAAAAAATCTTTATGAAAATATATATATATATCATAAAATAATTAAACGAATTCGACTATTTTATAAAATGGATTGCAAACGTCCTCGATGTTTCTCGTCGATCTTTTCATAGTAGATACATACTTTTGAGATGAAATATCTCGAAGTTGTATTAGTGAAAAAAAAAGATAAAAATAATTATATAGATGAAATATTCATCGTAATATCGTCGTATGTTAGATCATCATTTCGTTTTCTATGTTTTCATTCCGTTGATTCTCTTCGTATTCGTCGCAATAACAACACATCGAAACGCTGTCTTCAGAATTATCGGCAACATAAGTTGTGAATGTATCGATACTTTTTGTATCCAGAGATAATAAAGACCATGAAAGAGATTCCGTTTCGTATTCCGGTATAGTCGAGTGCCAAGAACTCAAATTTCGTGACTTTTTCGCTTTGCGACTTTTTGTCGATAATTTCTTGATAGCCTGCAAATTGAAGCAACAGCTTGCGATATACATACACATACTACCATATATATTCATTTTCTTTTATAATAAGTCAGCAATGAAAAAAAAATCGTTGAATAGTGCAATAAAAGTATAAATAAAAAAAGATTATGAGAAAATGTAGCTGTTTTAAAGTAAAACGTAATATTTTAAAGTCAAAGTCATTAAACATTTCGAAGCGATTCGATATGCGGTAGTGAATATATGTATGTATACATATATTTAGAAAATAAAGCATATGTTCGTGCAAGTTAGATATTTGCAGTTAAACGAATCAATGTTCAGAAGGACAAAATCATAGTAACGAAAAATTTACATAATCACAATATAAAAAAAATATATTTTTAGTATAAAAAAATTTAATAAAGAAAAAAAATAGTTAAAGAGATGCAGACTTGTCAATATAATAATTTGATTGATAAAATTGATATTTAATCAAAATAATAAGAATAGCTTAGTGATCAGGTTAACATTATGATACGCGAGGCTAAAGAAATTAGGTCGGCCAATGCGCCAGAAACGTGCGTGCATGCGTGCGTACAATAGAATTGGGAAAAGGATAATTGTCATCGTCTTACCCTGAGGAGTCTGCGACCAGATTTGGTTAATAATTTTCTCAACATATCGATGTTAAGCTCTCGACTATATTTCGATACTATCCGAATTTTGTCAGAAAAATTGAATGCGACAAATGTAAAATTGATTTTTGACCAATGTGAACTCTCACCGTGCCAACGATTCGGTTAGATGCGCACGCCTCGGCGTCACGCGACCAAATACCGCTCCGAGTCAGTATACCGTCCTATTTATCAACTCAGTTTGCCTGATGTTATCGTATCACACCAAACTTTTCTATCCCCACTCTAATACCCACTATGTATTATTATTACTTTCGAATAGAATCGCGTTTATAAATATTTATTTATACAAAAATACAAATCAAGGAAGGATAATTAAATAAGTTATATATTTTCATCAATTTTTTTTTTTATCAAATATATACGATTTTTTTGAAAATTAAAATATTTCAAAATTTCTTTTCTATATATTTTTACGTGAAAAAAAATTCTTTTTTTTTTTCTTATTCGATACACAAAATATCAGTAAAAATGCAAATTATAAAAATATATATGACTACAATGTAATATACTTATAAAGGGAAAGATCGATTTCAAATTTATAAAAAATAATTGAATATAAACTTCTATAAATTTTTATATTAATGTGACAAATTATATTCGAGATATATACTATTTGATATTATAAAAAAAAGTAATCACATATTGATATTAAAATTTTTTTCAAATAGGAAATAAAGAAAATCTGTTATAAATAAGTATATAAGCGATTGTTCATCATGATAATTATATAAGCAAGATCCATATAATTAAAATTCGAAAACAATGAATATCAAAATGAAGTGACAAGAAAGAAAGAGATAGTTAAAGAAAAGAGGTGTTCATTGAAAAGTTGAAGGGTGATCGGCGCGTGGCATGGTCGCGTGTACGCATGCGCATACGCGAAACTAGGAGCAATACATAGTACTATATACGCACGTGCGCGACGTAACGCGTGTGAGCGAAGTTGTTCTCACGCAGCGACACGCGTCCACCATCTCCCTAATGCGTACGCCACGTGCCATCTCGATGCACTTACGGAAAACTCATAATTGTCATAACATTCGAACTAAGCTCGCTTAAAAGAACGCCAATATCAGTTATTCGATGTACAAAAGTACCCTTCTTTATAAAACCTCAATACTTTTTTTGAGATAAATGACTACTTTCTTTATCTTTTTACTTACTAACTTCATAATATCATTCTATCTATGATACTTTCATTTATTATTTTCAATTATCAAACGATAACTTTTTTGATCGTGAAACATCGATCAGATTTTCAAATATTATTCTGCGAAAAAATAGGAAAATAAAATAAAAAAATCTAAAATCATTCAGATATAAACAAGAATAAACATACAATAATTATAAGATTATAAGATTATGTCATGCATTATATATTTGACATCATCATTTCAACTAATAATATCAGAAGATTATTTGATCCAAACTAAACATTTGTAAAAAAAAAATAAATAAAAACAATTGTTCGGAAAAAATTTTTATATTTTATATTTTCTTAAAAAAAAGAGATGAAATAAAAAAGAGAGAAAGAGAGACTAGTGATTTTGATTAAATAAGAAAGAGCGTAATAATTTTTGAGGGAAACAATTGCCGATAGCGATAGAGTAACGAGCGACGCGTGCCATGTCACGTGTCCTACAAAGCGCACGCTCAAACATTATATTATACATAGTATATAGGAGGTGGTGCGCGTAAAATAAGTCTCGACTAATTGCATCGACTGTTCCATTAGAGATTAAACTTCAAACGAGGTTTGGTCAGATTCGCTCGGTTAATTAAGACAACTCACCCAAGTATAAGTCTACTTTGTATTCTTTTCATACGAAAGAGAAAAATAACACCGAATATCCCATAATCGCCACATCATGCCGAAAATCACGAATGTCTATTGTCTGTCTACTTTGTAATCGATTAAACAAAGTACATTATCCAAACAAATGCTCAAATAAACGTGCACATTTTCTGACAAAAATGAAAATTTGTTCTTCTAATAAGAATCAAATGTTGTAATAGCGTTGTAATAAAAATTATTTATTTTAATGCGCCATATAAATTAAAGAGATAATCAGAACTATTTAGAATTGTTCTTTTCACATCGCATATTGCTTAAGGTTCATCAATCCGATTTTTTAAAAATTATATATAAAATATTTTTAACGATAATCTTTTTTTCTATGTCAAATATTTCACTTTAACTTGTCAATAGAAAAATGAAATGATAATACATATGATTTCTATTTTATGTAATGAAAATAAAAACATCTAATTGCATTACTAATTGTCATATAGAAATATAAAAATATGAAAAAGAGAAAAAGAAAGAAAACTAATTTTAATATTCCATAATATTGATTGATTATTGTATGAGAAATGTAACAATTCAATGTACAAAATTTTCAAGCAAAAAGAAAAAATATTCAAATTATAAAAATAAATAATATACATACTTTTATTTAGATAGCTTCACAAAAATTATTTACATAGAAAAATTTAATGGAAAGAAAAACTATTTCAATAAACTCAATAATTTCGTAAAAATATAAATAACATTTTGATTTTCACTTCATAAATTCTTTTTAAACATAAAAATAACTTATTTATCATATTCCACAATGTATGCACTCCGATAAATCATAACTATAATAATCAAAAATTCCACATTTTTTTATAAAATATAAAAATATTGGTGATACGTATATCAACAAATAATAAAATTTTAAGAGTCAAGAAGAGGCTCGTTTAACTTGTTCGCATCATATGGTATATTTTTCTTGTTGCCTGGTAATAACATTGGCACTATTTTAACGCGAAGTTCATACAGAAAGAAATCCTGGCAAAAATGATAAAAATCGTTCCGTGTAGAAATAATACCGAGACGTGCCATTTCTTTCATTAAAGCATACAATTCGTTTTCATAATCTAAATACGATTTACACTTCATAATAAACTTCGTTACATTGGATAATTGATGTATAAATTTTTCGGAAACCAATCTTGTTTCCAATTTAAATCTCGGTTCCATATATTTCCACAAATATTTATAAAGACGATCAGTGATCCACGGTTGAGGACGAGGTAGTCGGGGAGCTTTATATTTCTGCCCATTCACCAAGAAAGCTCTATGAATTTGTTTCGTTGAACGATCTCGCTTTTGTAATGTTTGCAACTTTTTACCTCTTCCAAACTCTTTTTTTCTTCCTTGGAAAAATGACTTTTCTTCAAATTTCACCTTATTCGTTCCCATGCTAGCCATTTCCTTTTCTTTCACTTTTTCTAATTCTCGTCTTATTTCTTTTACTTTTTCTTCATCGCAAAGAATCTGCGATGCCGGCAATGCATCATTCGGTGTCAAAAAATTTCTAATACTCCTTTGCCCCTTTGAAACATTGCTATCTTTGTCAATACGAGATCGAGTCACCGTTGAAATAAAATTTGTAGTTTTATTCGCTACTTTATCATTTTCTCTAACTTTTTGCTTCTTATTATCAGACAAAAATGATGCGTTTGCAATGGATTCTCGTTTTGATTTGTTCTCAATTTCTTTCGATTCAGAAGTAATAGGTAAGTTTGATTCGTTAAAAATTTTGCTTTGTCTCTTTAAATACGTATCCACCGATTCGTTCTGCAATTTGCTTTTCTGTTCTTTTGAAATATTTCTATCTTCAATGTGCTTTTTAATCACCGATGACATTAAATTTTTAGATTTATCTGATTCTTCGTTATGATTTTTCTCAATTGTTTGCTTCTCATTATCAGACAAGGATGACATATTTGCAATAGATGTTTCTTTTGTTGATTTTTTTTCAATTTCATCTGATTCAATTTCAAAAGTAGTAGATAAATCTGATTCATCGAAAATTTTGTTTTGTGTCTTCGAATACGTATCCACCGATTCCTTCTGTAATTTATTCGAGTAATCGTTTTCTTGTTTTTTTGAAATATTATTATTTTCGACATACGTTCCGATCACCGATGATATTAAATCTGTAGATTTATTTAATGATTTGTCATGATTTTTCTCAATTTTTTGTTTCTCATTATCAAGCAAGAATGACGCGTTTACATTCGTTATATTTTTTATCGATTTTTTTTCAATTTCTTCCAATTCAATTTCAGAAGTATTAGATAAATCTGATTCATGAAATATTTTGCTTTGTCTCTTTGAATATGTATCCATTGATTTTTTTTGCAATTTGTTCGAATTTCTCGGTTCTTTTGAAATATCTTTAATATTTCTTCTGATTACTGATGACATTAAATCTTCAGATTTATTTAATGCTTCGTTTTGATGATTTTTCTCGATTTCTATATTAATTTTAGAGGTGGAATCTTCTAAATCTGATTTTTTGTAAATTTCGTCGAAACTTTCGTTTTGTTTTTTCAAATATTTATGCATCGATTTTTTTTGCGATTTATTTGGATTATTGCTTTTCGTTATGTCTTCTCCATCTTCAATTATATTTTCTCCGATTTTATCCACTTCTTGTATTCTATTTAAAGTCCTAGAAATCCGTTGCGTTGTATTTTTAACTTCTTCTTGTTCAATTCTACTCACAGACGGAGAAATTGAAGGATTATGCAATTTATGTAAACGACTACTTCTTCGTATATTTTTATTTTCAGATGAATCAATTTTTGTTGCTTTTTTTACCAAAGATAATTTTTTTTTTATATTATTCAAGTTCTTGTTTTTCGCAATATCTTCGATTTCTTTTTCTGAATTATGTAAATTCTTAGATTTTTTCTTAGGAATATCTTCTATATTTTTGGTTTTAGATTTATCGATAGATTGTTTCGATTGTATGGATTTTGCCGATATATTAATAACATTTGTATTATCGTCTTCATCTGACATTCTTAAATGAAAATCTATTAATTCGTTTTCTTGTCTATTTACAATTCGTTTATTTTTGTCTTGTATAGATGAATGTAAATTTTCTTCTTCTGATAGATGTAATGAATGTTTTAATGTGGATAATGTATCGTCATTTTTCTCAAATATGTCTTGAAAAAGATTCCTTTTTTGATTTTTTCTTAATTTTTTTAAAAATTTGGATTTTGATTTACGAACTTTAGAAAGATCATGATTTGTATCTGATGTATTATTCGATGTAATTGATTTATCAGTTATTGCTTCAGAAATTTCTGATAAATTCAATACACGTTCTGCATCATCAGCCACTGTATTTTCAGAAATTTTATTAATGGTTTCTTGCTTTTCAAAAATATTTTCAAATAGATTTTCCTTTACATTCTTATAATGACGTGTTAATAACTTAGATTTTGGTTTGAGTATTTCAGAATTTGTATCACTATTGTTACTTTCTTTATTATTATTATGTATAAATGAACTAGTACCTTCAAGTATTGTACTCTGTGCTTTTGGTATTGGGAAATGAGAGAAATTATGTTCGTTATTAAATGATAATGAAATTTGATTTTGTAGTATTTCATTAGATTCTGAAGTTTCGGTCACTATAGGAACTAAATATTCTGTGGATATTTGTGCTCGATCTTCATTATCAGAAGATATTTTTGAAGATTTTCTTTTCAATGGTGTTTCTAATTGATTTTTTTTTAATACATTAACAAATATATTGTTATTTTGATTTTTGTTTTTCTTAAAAATACTAGGCTTCATCTTTAAAATATCATTAGTGTTTAGACTGTCACTCAAATTACTTACTTGTATTTCATTTGATTGTTCGGCATTAAGATCTATTTTATCACTCAATGCAGATTTGTTTATTGAACTTTCTTTTCCAGTTTTTTGTGTAAATTCAGATGTAGTTATAGAATTATTTAAAGCATGTAAAAAAATATTATCTTCGCTTCTTCTTATTTTTGAACGTAAAAAATACTTTCTTTTTACAATTTTTGATTCTTCTTCAGATTCAGATGTTAATATATTGTTAATTGATTCTAAAATATAATAATTTGTTATTAATTGATTATAAAATATAAAATAGTAATTAAATTATATATATATAATTAATTATATAATTAATTATATATATTATATTTTATAATCTATTATATAATTAATTATATAATTAATTATATAATTAATATATAAATATCATTTTATAATATGTATATATGTATATATTTCATATATTAAGTGCATTATCTCATGTATACATACCTTTAGTTACAATATTTTCATTCACTTTTGAGGAATTTGATATATTTGTAACTTCAAGTGCTTTCCACCATCCATCTGTAACTTGACTTGTTTTTATTTGAGAGTTAGAATCTAATTGACGGCTTGTTTGATTTAATATATTCGAAGCTGTGGAGGGTCGGATTGTATTATCTTCCAAATTTTTCCACCAATCAGTAGTAGTATATTCTAAAATATAGGCATTATAATATATATTCAATCTATAATACTTAATCAACACAAAACTGTCAAAAAAATATGAACGAACCATCACTCGAAATATCAGAATTAGAATTTAAAATTGTAGAACTATATCTGGATGAACGCCTGTTTAAACTCTTTCTTTTAGCCATTTTTAATAAATTTTATTATTTCAATTTTTTCTAAAAATTATCATTTTTCATATTACGATAACTAGATACAGTTTTAGGTTAAATTTTAGTTTTAAGAATAAAAAATTTGTAAGATATTTTTATATTTTCTGATAATATTTAACGAATAAAATTCAAAAATAATAATTTTAATTTTAAAAATTTATGTGACAAAAAATTACTTTGATCACTATAATAATTCTTTTCACGATTCACAATCATCTAAGTATCCATCCAATGAAAGAGCATAATGAAAGAAAGGAAAACATAGGATAAAAACTATGAGAAACGCCATTTTTAGAATACCACAAATGAAATATATACAAAAAAAAATAGTAGAAAAAGGATAGCGATACAGTTCCAATTGACTGTCAGTGCCATCTTTTAATTTTCAAATTAAAAAAGTATTTAAAAGAGATGGCGATAATGATCAATTCTTACTATTTTCTTTCTTCTAATATTTATTTTTTTTATATATTCTACATATATATTTCATTTGCAGCATTTTGAAGACAATGCTAATTTCCGAATTTTTACCTGGTATCTGTTTTTTTTCTATTATTTTTTCTCCTTGTCTATTATATTTATACTTGTGTAAAATTTATGCACTTGAAGGAAACGATTCCAATATTTAATTAGTTTTATAATTTTCTTTGTCTAATCTATTGATAAAAAATTTAACAGAATTTTTTTAATTCAAATTTTATATGAGATATATATATTTTATATATAAATTAGCTATATAAATGCATAATATATAATATAATGGATTTCTATTAAATAAAATATTCATAAAATAAATTTAACTAGCTTTATATAATAAAAAATTGTTACATATTACATTATAATATTTTAATATTAATATTTTAATATTATAATATTTTATTGTAATATTTTAAATATTTTCTTTTTTCAAAGTTGACAAGTTAATATAATTAATGCAAATAAGAAACATGCTACAATAATATCAAATCATATTTTAAAATAATATTAAAATAATAACAATTTTCATAAATATTAATATCAGGAATCCTATTTATAATACATAGATAAATGAAATAGGTACTTATAATCAGCCTTAAATAAATCTCTTACTTTATTGAATATTTATTTTACTTTTGCAGATGAACGAGATCTAAGATTTTTTTTAGTTGCTTGATCAACTTCTGGTAAATCATCATCTTCAGACATCATAGATTTTTTTCCTAAAAATAAAATTTAATGTACTTTTCAAATTAAATATACTTCAAACTAAATGCATAATAAAAAAATTTCTTCTAGATTCTGCTTACCTTCTTTTTTCTTTGATTTTTGTTTTGATTTCACTGCTGTTTGTACAGGAACTACATTTTCTCGGGCGCGCTTAAGTTGTCTCGAAATAAATATATAAGATAAATAAATTTGGAAAATAGCAATATAGCTTAAAGCTGTGAATCGTATAATTGGAATATTAAAATTTCCAACAGCATAGTCAAATACACTTTCCATTTGACCTAAACCATAAAGAAACACTAACATTGCAATAGTTAGTGTTGCGATGCGTACAAAAATGTATGTTGAATTTGCAACAAGAAATGCCACTAAAAATAATTCCATCATTTTATTTAAAAAATAGATGTAAAAATATTTTATATTTTTAGATGCAAATAATTCATATAAAATTATATTTTCAATGTGATCATACTTACTTTTTGTTATTTTTTCTTTTTTGCCCACAAAATGAATAAGTCTAGCTCCATGAAGCATAGCATCTCCTATATAATGTGGAACTAATAGTAAAATACCTACTTGCTGGAAACTATTTAAATAAGCAAATATTAAAAAATAATATAATTAATAAAACATTGTATAATATATCATATATAAAAATTATGTCATACTTAAAAATATAAGCTGCAAGAATGGAAAGGAATCCTATAGTTGCTTGTACAATTCGAGGTGGTATATCTTCCTTCTTCACTCTTTGAAAATATAATTCAGGATAACAGTGTAACCAATAAGCAAGTTGTCCAATAAAGAACAATTTTGAAGAAAAAGATAATGGTATTGGATATTCCTTCCATAATGAAATAATATTTAATAACAAGTTTTCTCTAAAAAGATATATAATTTTTATTTTAATTATATAAAAAATAATTGCATATTTAAAGCAATAAATATTTTACCTGATAATTATGTCTATACCCCATATAATAGACAATATATAAAATAAGACAAGTTGACTGGATTCATTAAATTTAGCAAGTTTTACTTTGCTAAGATGTAAACGCTTTGAAACTTTCTAAAATAAAATATAAATATTATTTTTTTATAAATATTAAAAATAACAAATTTATAGAAATCAATGTAACTTACATCAAAAATATAATCTTGAAATACAGCATGCATTACAATTGTTATTAAAAAGGAAAAAAATACAGCACATGCATCTTTCCAACCAGTAGTATATTTCATTGGCATAGTTGGATCTTCAACATCTGAAGTTATATTGTGATGAATAGCAATAAATGTATATGCCCATGGTGATGTTGCCTAAATAAATAATTAAAGGTAAAGATAAAATAAATGATTCAAGTTAAAATAATTAATAAGAATATTGTGTTAATAAATTTAAATTTCATTTAAGTTTGCTCAATTAGTTAAAGTTAATTTAATACTTATTTATTAACTAATATCAATAATAATAAATAACATATGGTCACAATACGAATAATAATTAAAATTAATATTAGATATAAATTGATTGTTAAATATTAATTGAAATGAAATAGTAATATAAAATGAAAAGAAGTCATCAAATCAATATGAAAAATGTCATTGACAAAATTAATACCTGTATCATTAGACCCGTTACGAAAATCATAGCCACGCAAGAAACAATATCTCCATGATTTTGAATAATGAATTCATGACTGAATATAGGAGGATTTTTATTTGAATTTTTGCGACCTTTTATTGCAACCATCTTTTGCAATATAAGCTTTTTTTTTGATTTCACACTGTCAATATTTCTATATAATAACGAATCACAGCACTGCCGTCAAATAATTAAACATGTAGCATGTACTTAATTGCCAGTAACCTACACATACGCATACCTGTTGAGAAGTAATACATTAAACATAGGCCAACATCGAACAATGTGGCGCTTGCTGTCTTCACTTGTTGGCACTACGTAAATCAAAATAATATTGAACATTTATAAAAATTATAAACATTTATGTATTTCTTCTATTTTTATAATGTTGATTAATATATTAATTTTTTTTATAATATAATGAAAATTGCTTTGTTTAATAATACTGTATTTATTATTATATGGATGCTATGTTGTTTTTAAGTGCGACAATTATTATAATCGTAATCATAATTATATCAATGATATATTTCGCAATTTCTATGAATAATGAATCATTCATAATAAAATAATAATAACAGTAGAATTTATAAGATACATTTTATTAATAGGTACATTTGATTAGGTACATTTTCAATGGTCACAATATCCTTATGCACATATTCATATGTATTTCTTGTTCTATAATTATATAATATTATATAATTACCACAAATATTTCATAAATATAAAGTTTAAATATCTATTTAATAAATAAATACGTCAGTTGCAACAGTAAAGAGAAAATACATATTTAACAATTTAATATCAGAACGAAATAATTTCTAAATTTCATATACATTATGCCAGAGATAAACTGTAAAATTCATTGTCAACAATGAGTCAAAAATATATTTCTGTAATCGTAAAAATAATACTTTTCCAACATTATACCTTTATTGTATTACTAGTTTATCATTAGTGTTATATGACATTAACATTTATATATATAATGTTTGTACATTATGTTTGTCAATCAACATAATTATTAATGGATCATATGATTTTTTTGTTATAATGCTTTTAAATGAACACATATGATATATGATAAAATACTAATCACACGTAAAGTTATACAAAATACATTTTGTGTGTATAGTATTTATATTTTTATACGCAAAAACCTATGCACTTACTGTAGTATTAATATTTTTTATTCTTTTTATTTTAAATTTTTATAATTTCTTTTATATATATTCCAATGCTATTTTATTTATTCGCGCTTACTTTAATACATGAATATAAGTGCTGTTTAAGTTTCGTTTTGTTTATTAGGCCACAATAAATTTATATTTTTAACAATCTTATATGAAGGCAATGCAAAGGAATATCTTTTAAATTGTTATAATCTTTTTATAAAGATTATTTTCACGGATAAAATTTTGCTTATACGAACAATTATTTTTAACAATAAATAGATATTGATTTTAAATAAACAATGTGCATAATTTTTTTTTATAAATAGACATATAATTTTATTGTTATTATATAATTAAACTTAATTTAGGATTCCATAAAAAATACATATTATACTTTGTATATACTTATTCATGTCATATTTATAAGAAATATTTTATCTCAAATATTTAATAAGTAATTTGATTGCTGTTACATAAATATTTTAAGAACAATGACCAGGAATGTAAGTGCTCATTGATATGATAACATTGTAATCATTGCATAATTTGTATTTTATGTTAAATGGACGTGTCGCTTAGTTTCATAAAAGTGTATTAGTATTTTCTACATGCATTGGCAAACTTTAATTAACATTATTCCATAATATTCATATCATTTTTTAAAGATAAATAAATCAGTAAAATATCATGATCATTTATATTAAAATAACTTACTTGGAACTAGAACTTTATAGGAATTGTATGTTTCTATATTTGAGGAAATAATTTCAAGTTTAATATCTGTACGATGATAATACGAGTACAATAATAACATGAATTAAATCTAAATATTCTTGTGGTCACAAGCCTTAAATCTTAGCAAAACCTTTTAACGTTATATGCAACCAGTAAGACTTAGGTTTTTAATTTGTCCTAAGTATCGCTTGTCGTTGCAAATTATGTTTTGAGGTAGACAAGTATATTCTTTGAATAGCTTTTCATAGCTATAGGTAAAGCTAAACCAAATGATAAGTTTCCATTAAAGAAAGATGCCACATTATGTTTAATTTTATATTTCAGACCACAAATATAGTCTAATAGATTTACTTGCAAAATTGTAAAGTAGCCATGAAAGCTATAATTTGATTTTTAGTTCAAATTGTTGCAATTAAAAAATTTAAAGAATACAATATCTTCTAAAAGCGATTTGCCATTCTAATGAATTTCTGTTAAAGCTTAAAAAAAAAAAAATTAGATAACATAAATATCATGCACTTTTAAGATTCATACAATTGCAATATAATTATTGTGATTGGTATCAAATTTTTAAATAGACGAGAATAAAATCCGATGTCAAATATATTAAAAATGTTCATAAAATCTAAGATTTGAAGCTATTGCATTCAAATGTCGTATCGAGAGATAAATGTCATTAATTGTATTCATTTTTATCATTATATTCATATATAATCGTTATATCGAATGCTTCTTTATTATATTATAACATTTAAATGTTTTATATCATTTTAATATTTATATTTTTGTTTATTCTATTTTTCGATGTTTTCTCGCGCTTATATATTATGTTATTCTAATAACATTCAATATAAATAAGAATATAATTTTCAGTTTTTATCTATGAAAATGTTTTTTAAATGTTTCAATATCTTCATTTTCTTATATTACTAATATATAGCTTACCTTCATATTTCAGGTACTATATTTGTACCTACTTCTTACTTAACTTTAAGCCGCAATCAAAATATATAATTACATTTTTTTGAACAAAATATTAATCTATATTTTGTGATTATAGCAATAATATGAAATAATTTACTATTTATTAAAACAATTCACATTAAAAAGATTAAGTTATTAGCGCGCATTTTATTATTATGTAATTGAATGTATAAACGATACGTGTGTGCATGATACATTCTGATTTTATGTTAACCTACTAATGTTTGCAGAATATTAAATTCTATGATTGTATATCCAAAGTTTGACATTTTTTCTCTCATAAATATCAACGCAAAATAATTATTGTAATGTCATACAATACTAACAAAATCTACTATGAATAGTGTATATGAAACATTACCTTTTACTGCAAACATTTGTAATTTATACAAGAGAATCATTATCAACATCCATTTCTTCTACAGTGATATAAAGACCTTCTTCCTCATATGTAGATTCGTGTTTTGCTAAAACTTTAAGTAATGGTCGTAATTTCATCCACCATTGATATGTTGGAATGCGATGTCTAAAAATTTTATAAAACATTATTAAATATTTTTAATTAAAATTAATATTAATATATTATTGCTTACTCAAAATCCGTCATTTCAAGAAGTTCTGCAAATGGTGTAAATTTATAATGTTGTCGCACAATACCAATCATAACTGCACTATCAGCATCCATTGCTGTTACTTTACCATTAGCATCAGTATTTTTTTTTAGTTGTTCACTAAACCATTCAACTGCTTTAGAACCCATTTTTGTGCCCAAATTTCGATCAAATGGAGTTGGTGAACCTCCTTGCTGCATATGACCTATAAAAAAATTTGTAAACTTGATAACTTTTTATTGTTTTATTAAAAATATAAAATTATAATATTTATTCCAATAATAGTACCAATAATATTCATTCTACAGCTAAAGAGGCCTTTTCCTTCTTCACTAAAAAGTCTTTGCATAAAATCTGTACTATAATTTAAATTTGCATTTTCATTTCTTAAAATAAGACCTCTCTGTACACCTTCAGACATTTTAGCAGCCATTGCAATAACATCTTGATTTAAATCTTTAATATTAAACTTTTCCTCGAAAATATATGCTGCATCAGCTCCACCAGCTAATCCAGCTAGAGTAGCTAAATAACCACAATATCCACCCATAGTTTCAATAATAAATACTCGACGCTTTGTACCTTGTGCAGATTGACGGATTCGATCACAGATCTAAAAATAACAATATTCGATCATGAGAATTTTGTATCAATAAATTTATTATAAAATATACTGGATATGCGAAATCCTACCTCTGTAATTTCATTTAAAGCAGTGTCACATCCTAATGAAAACTCAGTTCCTGGAACATTATTGCTAATAGTTGCCGGAATCATCGCAATAGGAATTCGAAATTCTTCAAATTTGTCTCTAGCATTAATAAAGGTAAGTCCCGTTTGATAACCCTTTTAGAAAAACAGTAATAATAATATATTATAATAATAAATAAGCTATTTTAAAAAACATAGTTTACTTTAACATAGTTTAAGTCTAATCATTACCTCAAATCCTCCTACAATAAGTAGAGCTTGAATTTCATATTCTTTAAGTCTTTGAGCAATCTGTGTTAACTGCTCCTCTTTTGGTGGAGCACGTTTAGTTCCTAAAAGAGCACCACCTTGTGATACCCAACCAGTGACAAAAGGCCAATCCAATAATTTAAATTTTCCAGTCATAAGACCTAAGATTCCATCACAAATACCATAAACCTAAAATTTATCATGAAATTTGCATCATTATATTACAAAAAAAATTTTATAAATTTTAATTAATTTTATTAATTTTACCTTATCTCCTCGATAAATACAATTTCTAACAAAAGAACGCACAGCGGCATTCATACCACAAGAGGGTGAACCAATATGTATTACACCTAATGTATAATGGCAACTCTGTAACAAAATTCAACATTAATTATTATTATTATTATAAAAAAATTTTATATTAATTGATATAGCGTGCACATAAAAAAACAAACGCGTTCTGTATTTGAACATGGTGTTTAATATTTAGATTGAAAGGCATTATAATGTTTATTTTTATTTTAATAAAAATATTACAGTTAAATTTATTTAGATCAAAAAAAAAAAAAAAATATCAAGATTTGAAATTAGTTAACTCACTTGTCCATACAAAGTGAATTGCTAATAAAAAGAAAAAGATAAAAATTTCAAAAAAGCTATTTATAATTTTATGAAGCATCAAAATGTAAAAATATGTACACATATAGCTTTTCAATGCAGATTTACCTTTGTTAATGTGGGACTGTTACTTTCCTGAAGCAATATTAAATAAAAAATATAATAAAGATAAATTTTCATTTTAAATATATTCTAAATTAACCAGAATTAAAAATCTTCAAATGTATTGTATAATCTTTTATATCCTTTATATGTAATAGTTAGAAAAATTTATTTAAATATCTTCTTTGATTGTAATAAATATATAAATAAATATATAACAAATAATTTTAACCATTCAAAGGATAAATAATACTATAGAAATATTTTTTTTTATTTTTATTTTAGTGTTTATTTCAACTGAGACACTCTATATATTTTATTATTTCGAAATTGATTATTTCAATAATCATATGTCTAAAAATTTTATAGAAAATTTTAAATTTATATTATATATAATTTTAACATACCTTGGGATGGGTACATTCTATAGGTGCTTTCAAACGGGTCAACATTTTATATGTTTCCAAATTACGAGCAAATCCTCTAAAAATATTTATATTATTATAAAAAATATTATTATAAAATAGTGTATAATACAATTTTTAATTTAAATATATTTTATAGAATAAAGACATACTTTCCACGAAGTTGAACTGCGAGATTCCAATTTTTATCAGCCATAGCTTTTGCTACTCCCTTAGTACGTCGAACGCATTCCATAAGAGGTAATCTTACAGCTTGATTACCATTTAATGTAACAACACATGCTTCAGTGTCTGGCTTTGCTTCCATTAATGCCATTACTGCTTCTGCTCCCATTCGACAGCCCTATTATTATTAAATATAATAAATATTTTGATTTTTCAAAATAAACAAAAAAAATTCCATAACAATGTGAATATTTATATAATAACTAACCAAAACTCTATCAAAAGCAGATGGATTACCACCTCTTTGAACATGACCAAGAACAGTAATTCTTGTATCTTGTTGTAGCTTTTCCACAACAACTTTATGAATTTTTTCAGCAGTAATTGGTTCACCATTTCTATCTAATGCACCTTCAGCTACAATTATAATATTAAGTCGTTGTCCCATAAGTCTTTCCTGAAATTATATATATTTTATAATTGATAAAAATAACATAACAATTATATAAGTTTATATAAAAACCATTTATACAACACATTTAATTAAAAAAAAATAATCAAAGATAGAAGAAGGAATAGTAATATAATTTTTGACATTAATATTTTAAGTTATATTACATACCAAACATTCAATTAGTTAAATTTAAAATTAAACAATATTATACATTAACAATATATTAACAAATTAACAATATTACATACAACTTATTAAGCAAGCATAATTTAAGTTAGCGTACAAAATAGAATTACAAATGAATTATAAGAAGCTTACCATTATGAGCAAATTAAATTGAAATGAAAATATATATATTCCTCCTTTTACTAATAAAACAAAAAAAATACAAACTAAGATAAAATATTTATTAAAATAATTGCATTGTAATATTAAAAAATGAAAAATATAGACAATTTTATATTTTAATCATAAATTATTTAATTTTAGATTAATTTTATAACCGTTTAAAAAATTAAAAAAAAAAAATTGCGAACCTGTAATAATTTTTTGCACAGCTTATTTGGCCAATCTTGTTCAGGTGGCCACTCTGGGATGAACACAAAATCAGCTTCAGAACATATGGCTGCCACTAGGGCCAGGTAACTGTAATGGTATGTTATAAAAGCTAGCTAAAATAATACATAACAATATAGTAACTATAGTAAAATGATTTCATTTTGAATTGATAATGTGAAAATAATAGATAAACTAATAAAATATTATAAATTTGTGAACAAAGGCTTAAATTATTTAATAAATAGTTTTTAATATTTGCAATAAATTGTTGCTGCTAAGAGAAATTTACAATATAAATAATAGGAAACTATTATAATTCTATTATACCTAATATATTCCTATCCTAAATATTTTTATAATTTAATTATTTTAATACAGGAGCAGACACACATTTAATGAATTCAAAAAAAAAAATAAATTTAATAATTTGGCTAACAAATATTATATTATAAAAAAGCATAATTTATTAAGGAAAAATATATAATGATTGATCAATGATTAATAACGTGCCTGTTGCACAGCTTTGCAAAGTTCCTCAACCCAATTATCTGTTGAGGGTACTTCAGGTATAAAGCAATAGCATGCTTCAGAAGATAAACAAGAAGCTAACGCCAGATACCTGAAAGACTTTACTTCTTATTAAATTCATACTACATTGAATTATTTTAAAATTTGTTTCTATCCTTAAATATTATTTATATAAATGAAATTTTTGATTTAATGCTATATATTTAATGTTTGTAAGAAGAATAAGAATTATAAGAAGAAATAAAAGTAACATTAATAACATAATTAAGCAACTAAAAATACATTAAAAACAAAAACAAATTATTAAATTTGTTAAATTAAGTTAAAAGGAAACAACACTATAACAATAAATTTATAAAATTCCTAAACAACGTGCCTGCCCCAATTTTTTACATAATTTATCAGGCCAGTCAGCAGGAGGAGGTGATTCTGGACAGAAAACAAAATCTGCTTCTGCCGCTAAAGCACCCACAATTCCCAAATACCTATTCAAAAAGTTTTATATAGAATATAAAATATAAAAACAAATATTTTTTTAATTTATAAGATATGAATTTGTTTAATACTGAAAAATTAAATTTTTCATTTTATTTATTTATTTAAAAAAATAAAAATTTTTTAAATTTTATTAAAAAAATTTAACAAATAACTTACCCGCAATGCCGACCCATAACTTCCATTATGAACGTTCTTTGATGGGAATATGCTGTACTAACAATAGCATCGATACTTTCGATAATACGATGTAACGCAGAATCAGTACCAATAGTCATGTCAGTTCCACAAAAATCATTATCAATAGATCCCACTAAACCAGCAATGTGTAAATGTTCATATTTTTCTACTTGGTCTATTGTAATTTCTCCTAAATAAACAACAATAATAAAGTATACAAATATATTACAAAAATAAAAATATCAAAACTTTTTTACTTACCTTCCTCAGCTAATTCTTTTAATAGGGTTGACCATTCTTCCTTAAATATATTTGCACCAGTAAGTGAACCATCACCACCTATTACAACTAAATTACTTATTCCAAGTTTTACTAAATTTTTTGCAGCTTTTTTGCGACCAGAATGTTCTTCGAAATCATGACATCGAGCAGATCCTATTACTGTACCACCCTAAAGTAAAATCTCAATTTAATTTAAAACATAACAATATATAGACATAGATATACATAATACATACTTTATGTATGATAGAAGAAACAGATGACCAAGTAGCTTCTTGAATATTTTTTCCACCATCTACCATACCCTGATAGCCTTCTTTAATAAAGAAAACTTTACATCCAAGATAAATACCCATTCTAACAACTGCTCGAACTGCTGCATTCATTCCTAAAAAAAATTTTATTTTTGAAATTTATCAATCAAACATGTATATTGATATATATATTTATTATTCTGTTTTATTCTATTGATTCATTTTATACCTTGAGAATCACCTCCACTGGTAAAAACTGCAAGACCTTTGTCTTTATGACTACCAGGTTTTATAAATCTCCGAGCTGCTAAATCTTCTGCCATGTCTATCCAATACCACTTGTATTCCTACAATATAATTCTTGTACCTATTTTCTTGCAAACTTTCAAATCAAACAAAGATTTCAATTCATTCTATTATATAATACTATTTATTAATAATAATTTTATTAATAAATACTATCAAAGTAATATATATATACAATGTATTTTATTAATAAATACTAATTTTCATTTATTTAATTTTTATTGTTATCAATGTTACATTTTATTATATATTATTTAATATGTACTTATATATTATTATAAGAAAAAAATTGTAGTTTTTTATTAGTAAATAGATTTAAATCTTTTTTATAATGACAATACTAACTGATAAATTAATTCTTTATTTCAATTTTTATAATTTTTATAATATCATAATTATTTATTTCAATTTTTTATCAGTATATTAAATATAAAAATTATACATATATAAATTATATAAATTAATATATATAATTAATGTATAATTATATAATTTATACATAACAGAGAAGTATATGCCCACTAAGCTCTTATAATAGCTTACTTGTGGAAGCGCCATTGATTCCAAGCTCTGAATATAAATTCTTCTTTTATCATTGTTATTATTATAAAAAGACATACTAGCATTTAAGTCTTCCTTACCTTGTTCTTTGTCATCTAATAAAAAACTTAATATTACTTTCCGAAATTATCATTGATTATGTCTTAACAATGAAATAAATTTTATAATACATATTATAATATATTACTTTGTATTGTAAATGGAATGAGAAAAGAAAAATCTTCCTTCTTCGATTCATCTTTGATTGTGCAAGGACATTGCATTTCATCATTCTTTATGGACATATTTTAAAAATAAATATACAAAAAATTTAAAAGATAATTTCTATGTCCTAAATAAAATATATAACCTAAAATAAAAAACTATTAAATATTATAAACTACATTTATTGTTATTAACATGAACATAGCATCCGATTTATGAGAATCTTATTACCAATATTTACATAATAATCTTCTTCTGAATATTTAAAACATTTTTATATTATGTATATAACTATTTTACATAAAAAAATGATTAATAGTTTTTGAATTTAAACATTGTTTAATAATCAATGAAAAATCATAAAATTTGTGATATAAAATTATAGAATCTAATTTTCATTGAATTATTTAAGATCGTAATTATTTAAAAATAAATAATAAAAAGATATTACCTTAAAAAGGTATTTTTAAAGGACATACAAAACGTCATTGATAGTCCTTCGTATTTTAAAATAAAATAGCATATGTTTGAAGAATCAATAGAATCTGGCACATTATCAAATTACTGTGCATCAAAACATTAGAACAACGGTAATGCATACAGAATAGATTATTGAAATTAAATTTGTAAATAACGTAATTTTTTATATATAAAAAACAAATGTCAATTTAATATAAAAAAATACACAACTTAATGAACTTAATAAAATAATTTATTAATTTTTTAAGTTAAAAATTAATAAAAAATAATAGTCTATTGTAACAATGTATACAAGATACCATCATTGTCACTGACAATTAATCAGTCAATTATTTATTATATATATGTTATAATATGTATATGTAAGAAAATTGAACATTTTCAACTTACCAAATAAATATATATCCAATTACAATGAGAAATAAAATATGAATGTTAATTTAAAACTTTTTATATTTAAAATTACTTATACTTGAAAAATCTACGGTGTTCACTTTACATCAAACACTTCTTTCGAGACTTGAACTAAAACTGAAGGTGACCTTTACGTGTGCTTCGACACGAAGCTCCCCACCAGTAATATCTGCTAGCTCTTAGCACCCCACCCTATGTAGTATTAAATTTAGGAAATGGCCGTAGATGGTGTTAGTGATACATAATAATGATGTGAGTTGATGTTAGTGATACAATGTTATCTTCATGTTCGCTAAATTATTTTAAATTTTGTCTATTAAAAATTTATAAAATTATTGTTTTTTATTCTTTGTTAAACTAATTTTAATTTCTTTTATTATATACAAAAATTTATCGATAAAATAATTCATATACTTACATCTTTATATATTTTAAAATAGTAAAACAAGTCTTGATTCAATCATTATTCACTAGATAGTTATCGTCACAACTAAGTCAACGCAATTTATTCTAATAATAATCTGAGACAAAATGAATCTTGAACGTCATAAATAATAATACTTTTACGTCTCTTCTCTGAGCGTTGAGTTATTTTTATTTTTAATTATATTATTTGAAAAAGCAAAATTCAAAATACTTATGTTACTTATGTACTTATTAAATTGATTGATTGGTTAATTAATTTTTATCAATTTTTATCAATTTGTATATTATGTTTAATTGATATATTGATTATTAAATAACAAATAATCTTCATTTGCAAATAATTAGTAATAATAATAATGCTGAAATTAATTATTTTTATCTATTAAAATAGATATTGTTATCAAAAATTTAAGGTATTACCACAATAAGATATTATTATTGCATATAAAAAAAACATTGTTTTTGATATACAGTGAATAGTGAAAATTGATTTGAAAGGTGACAGCAATATATTCATTATTCGCCATATATATGTATTCTTTAATTCTTCATTTTTAGTTGTTTTATATTTTATTTCTAAATAAATTCTATTTAAATTTTATATAATGACTTGTTATTTTAATTCATAATTATTATAATTTATTTCAATGATTACTATTTGTAATCGATTAAAACGAAATTAGTCTACAGCAAATATGTAGGCCAAGGTCTAAACCTGGTCTTATGATCACAGAATGGTGTAAAATTACTTTATAGTAATTTGCATGATCTTTCATTCTAATTTCAGGATAATTTTTACTATATGTTATTTTTAGGATATGATTGAAAAAAATTTTCACGTTTAAACATTATAAACTATTATTTGATTAATTCAATTTTATACAATCAATTGTATTTGTTAAAAATAAAGAACAATCATAGATATCCAAAAGATAAAAAAATTTTTAAAATTGAAAGAAAATTCAAATTGTACTTCTATCGATTATGTTGATTTCTGACAAATTATACAAAATCTTGTATAATTATTTTATTGTAAGACCATTTTCTTTGAAAAAACGCGAATGTTACGTATTATTTCATAATATTACGAAAAAATTATAAATTACAACGCGAGAATATAAGGATCTACACACCGATACGTATTAAAAGCCAACTAAATTACTGTATTTCTGTAGGCGAATATATAAACATACATATCTTTATATAAATTTCAAAAGTTAACAAGATACAAACAAGATATCGTAAAATTATTCAATTGTTAAGTTTAAGTCAATTTTAATTATCAAATAAATATTAAAACGTTATTTTTGTTTTTATTTCAAATTGATTAGACTTAAACGTATATTGTTAATAATATACAATTTGTTTTATTCAAAACCAATACCCTCCATTTCTAGATTTTTATTAATTCGAATTTATCAATATTGAAAATAATATCAAACAATTTTCATTTCACATCTGATCAAACTTAGTATCTTACCTATCTTATAATTCTCTTCAATATCTACATGCGATGAATCTTGAATCAACGAAGATAATTATGAAGCTTGCGAACATGAAAACAGTAATAATAAATACTAATCATAAAGAAGAATTCTTACTGTATAGGAACATTGTGCTTACATCTGTCTAACCTTTTAAAATCATGTTCTTGAAATCTGTGTTTAAATTTAAAATATTATTAAAAATGTAAGCGTTATATTACGCTTTTGGAATTATTGACTCAATATTGTATATATTGCCCTTCCAAAATACCTGATAATACTGCGAAGCAGGACAATCGAGATTATTTTCTGAGACATTTTATCAGAATTTATTATTTCGTGTAAACGTTTATAATAATTATAATTTACAATTACGACGTGATTGATGATAAATACAAATAGAACAACATAACTTGGGACAAGGGAACTAGGGAAATTCAGCGGATGAATATTTGAGATTGCAATGGCTAGCTTTTCCCACGAATAGAGAAAAAAGAGAAAAGAAAGATAGAGGGATGGAAAAAAGGGAAGAAACAGAGCCAAAGAGAAAAAGAAGGGAAACGGAGAGGAAAGAGGAGGGAGGAGAGGGAGGGGGGAGAGAGAAGAGGGCCGGGGAGAGAGAGAGAGAGAGAGAGAGAGAGAGAGAGAGGGAGAGAGAGAGAGAACAATTTTAGGAATTGAAATATATAAAGATTAAAGTGAAGAATAATATTTCACCGTTTGTTATCTTATTTGTGATACGGTGATAAATATTTCAATAATCAAATTACAAATCTAAATTTTTGCGATGATCGGATAAAAAATAAATAGAAAGATTAATAAAGAAATTGAGCGCAGGAAGAGACCAAATAAGAAAATCATACAACTTATACATCATTTCTTTGTAACTTCTTTTTATCTATAAAGTAAATTTACGACAGCGTTATAAAGAAAAAAAAAATATGATACACTCGAAAAAAATCATAAATATATAAGGAATTAAAGAAAATTAAATCGATTATTATTAATGTTGCATATAGTAATAAGAATATGGGAACATATTTTGAAACGACAATTGTTTAGGAGTTCCAAAAGGATCAAGAAAAGGAAGAAAAAGAAAATTAAATTATTAAAAACATGCTACGCGAGAACAAGACTAGTGTTGAAAAATAATACGATTGCCCCAAAATGAATAATGGCAATTTTGAATATCTACTCGAACTCGCCCAGCTGGTCCATTTCTAATTGGATTTAAAATCTAAAATCCGTGAAAACCTTTCCGTATAATTTTAACATATCATTCTTATTTTTCAGTCTCTCTCTTGCATCAGCCACTAACACTTGCGTAAAATAATAGGAAAAACATGTTCTTCGTTTAATATTAAAAAAAAAAAAAAAAAAAAAAAAAATAAAAGCATTAATCATGGTTTTTGTGAACGAAATCATAATCCATGGCTATTACTATCGATGTTAACAAATGTAGGAATTACAGAAATCGAAATCGATCTTATGAATATATCTTTTTGTAAAATCAATTCGACTTCATACTCCTACTTTCATTCATTCATCCTTCATTATTCAATACGATAGAAACATGGACATATTGAAAAGTACAACATATTTGGAAAACGTTTACCCACATAACGCACGTTGTAATATCGATTAATCGTTATTTGTTTCCATATGGTAAACATTTACGTATATTGTATGTGTTTGTGTCTTTATATGTAAATCTATGCTCGTGTGTTTAGGGTAAGCGCGCGTATTTTACATACACTTAAAAAATATCCATGCATACGAGACGAAGAATACGTCAGAGAAATTCATTCTACCGAGACAGGTAGATTAGGACCGAAAATGGAATGGACCGAACCAGAGGCGGATGGTGGATTTCAAAGGAATTAAACCGATTTCTATGAACAAAACAGAGTAAAAAAGAAACGAAAGCGAACAAATATTTAACGTTTATTTATTTTTAATATCGTAAAAAAGAATTGGTTTTAACATAGAAACAAATGGAATTTCGTTTATTCGATCGATGAAAATTAGGAATCGTTACTTAGAATTTAAGTAAAATACAAAAAGGACTTGTCGTAATTCTGAAATAATTAGAAGCACTAGATTCATACATATATACATGTTAATCCGCCCCTGGACCGAACGTATCCGTTGCATTTGGACGCGTTAATTTAAATTTATTATTTGACTTTTCCCATTTTTAAAATGGTAACGTTCGTCCCTTTTATCGAGGTTTCGGTCGAGCCGATCACAGACCGTTACACGTCTCTGATCTGCCTTTTAAATCTGTCACCACCAGATATCAGAATGAAATCTTCTTGAACTTTGTATGGTATACGTGATCGATCGATCAAGATTTACAACGGAGCTTTCAACCTTTAAAAAACGAATGAAAATTCAAAGACAATGCATGATCTTTTTGTGAACCGAATTCATAAATTATGCTCTGCTTAGAAGATATTCTGAAAAGTTATTATATAAATTTGCAAAATTGCAAGACGTAACGAATAATTTTCAAATTCTATCGACAATTTTCATGAGATCGATCATGCCTACAAAACTGAATATCATATATATATAATATATATACACGCATACATTCACGCACATACATATATACCAATATGTATAAATGCATGCATACGTGCGTATGTATGTTAAAGGGAATATCGGGATAATAATTTTTTTATACGCGTACATAATTTGTCCTCGTTTTCTTCTTTTCCTTTGTTTTTAGTGCGACATTAGTAGTCAAAAGTCTCTGATAAATATCCGCTGTATATATATTATTGTGTATAATATATGTATATATATTATAACATATATACGGGAGAGAGAGGAAGAAAGAAAGATTGAAAGGGGGAAGGGGATACGAGAGCAAAAGAGATATAAAGAGGAGGAGAAAAAGAGATGGACGCAATTGAATCAAAATTTATAAGAACGAGTTAAATATCGAGATATCGAAATTATAGAAAGGAAAATATTTTTTAAAAAATTATTGCGCATTGATTAGCCGTTTAAATAAATCGAATCTACTTGTCCCCTTCCTTTCTCAGATATTCACGCGCTAGCAACGGACGGTCATGGCATACGATGGATAAAAATGTATTTTTAAAGTTATGTGCTCCACTCACCTCAATGATACAGCAATTAAAATAACGACACAATTTTGGAATAAATATGAGAAACAACAGAATTGTTTTAGACAATTCGAATATAAATCTTAAGATACACGCGTGTGCGCGTACACACACGAAAACGAAATAGGGAAAAAGAAAACGAATGAGCACACAAAATATAGTGTTTGCGTACACGCGTGTTTATAGAATAAGAATTAAGAATTTAAATACTATTAACACGTGCAATATGTAAAAAGTAGTAAATGTAAAAATTAAGTCATCACTGTTTTTGTGTTGGAACTTAATAACTTAATGTATTTTTACTCTCCTTTCTCCTCCTGCGTTCTTCCCTTCGTATAATAATATCGTACTTGCTAGACAATGTGAAATTTAATTTAATGACAACTGGATATAATGTAATTAGATTCATGCGTGCTTTTTTTTTTTCTTTCACTTCATTTCTTCTCGAATCTCTGTTTTGTTTAGCAATACTTTAGATGGTAAATAGTGAGCAGATCTGGGAGTAGTGACAGTGTTTTTTTTTTTTTGCTGTTTTTTTTTTTGCACTCCATATCTCGTCCCAACAACGAAATCGATACATTTTTCTGTATTCTATATATTTCCCAAAGACTAGTAGCTTCGATAACATTATTATCTCTCATAATACGCATATACAACTTTATCATTTTTCATACCGTTCTACGCTATATATCTTATTCGATGACGTTGTACGACGAGACAATGTTTGCAAAAATCCTTCCTGTCCTTTCCTCTGTTTATTCACAATTTGCTCCTTCTCTCTTCCACACAAAAATGAGTCAATACGCTTCTTTTGGATAAACTTAATGCCAGAAACTGAGTAATTCTCACAACTCGACCGTTTCCTTTCATTAAGGGCCGTATATGAGTATGGCAATGCAATATCCTAAGTTAATTTCACATAAATTTACTAATTTTTTTACCTTCGCCATTATTTTCTCTTCGCTTTTACTTCTTTTCTCTCTCTCTCCCTCTCTCTCTTTTTCACACACACACACATATACACACACACTCTCTCTCTAATCCCCCTCTCCCTATTCCTCTCTTTTAAGATTGACACTCTCCTTGAATGTTCAAATTCAAAATTTTTTTTCGACGAGTGGCAATAACGGGTATTATATTCAGCGACCAACACATGAATCGATCCCTTAGGAAAGGATACGGTCGAGAGTGAGATTTTTTCGTGTTCGAACTTTCGAATCAGGCATAACAGCTGTGGCGGTGGCATTGGCAGCAATGTGCGGTCGCATTGGAACAAACAGGTCACGTCACGATTTTCGAGGAATAATAATAAGGAAATAAGGATTCGAAAAAGGACGATGACATTTTTGATGAATGTGGAAGTAAGAAAGAAAAAAAGAAAAAAAGGAAATACAAAGAGGAACGAAATGAGATAATAAAATGGAGAAATAAGGGGATAATTCAAGATAGAATGGGATGATTGATAAACGGAATGGAAAAAAAGGAAAAAAATGACAAAAGAGAGGGAAAAGGTGAAGGGGAGAAGAAAAGAAGAAAAGAAGGAAGAAGGAAACGAGGTACGCGAGGGACGAAAGGACAGGCGAATGGATAAATCGATCTCGGGTGGATGGATGGGTGAGCACTTTAAGGGACGGGGGGACGATAGAGAATAGATGTTCTTATTAGGTTAGAAAGGACTTAAGCTTAGGAAGGTTAGTTATCTCCACCCTCCTGTGCTTCGTCCGCATCACCCTGCGTGTCACTGGTCCAAAGAGTGAGGTTGTCGCGTAAAAGCTGCATAATTAGCGTGGAATCTTTATAGCTGTCCTCATTAAGTGTGTCCAACTCTGCGATCGCATCGTCGAACGCCTGAAATGATTATATAAATATTAAAATTTTTAATAAAAGATTCGATCTTAATTCCGTTTTTCCTTTCATTTCTACATGATTCATATGAATCTATCCAGCAATCGCGGCCAAAACTATAAGAATTCGCATTCTTTCACAATCACGCGAAGTCATACATTCGTGCAAAGCATTAATAAATTTTTATTAGAGATAGGAAATGTTGCGAGTATGTGGATATTAAATGCATATGATGCGGAATGGTTACCGATACAGTGGAGACTCATTACAGCATTATCACACTAAATATTGAAATAACTTCTTTTTTCTTTTTTTAACAGGTTAGTATGCACTCAAAAACATAGCATTTACCGTAGTACAGTATCACGACACACTGATAATCAATAATTAATAGTAAAAGATGCATTTATTTGTTTAACATCAAATAATCATCCAATCAAGCATCAAACCGTCGATTATCCCTAACCTGTTTGGCAAGATGACAGGCTCTAGCGGGAGAATTAATAATTTCATAATAAAAAACGGAGAAGTTGAGAGCAAGACCGAGCCTGATGGGATGCGTAGGTTGCATTTTTGACTTTGCAATATCAAATGCTTCTTGATACGCTTTCTGTGAATCCTCGACTACCGCTGTAACGCAAACCGAGAAATCCAGATTACAATTTTCATAAATTTCAAGATGAAACTTAACTTTTTTTGAGATAAATCTATGAGGTTGTCATGTGTATATGTGTGTACATAGGAAGGAACAGGAAGGAAAGGAGAAAAAATAATTATTCATTTCTTCTGCAACACACTTTCGCGAGTATGCATTATTTACGATCTTAATCGATGAAGAATCAACGAAAATTTAGAAGAGCACATCAACAAGTTATAAAAATAAAAGGATCTTCCCATAGCAAGATAAAATAAAATCATATTTTTTGCCTCCACTGCATCACCTTCCTACTGCATCTCTTCTTGCGATTGCTGTAAATTATCGACATCATCCTCGTTTCTATAAATTATACCTGTTTGGCCAGCTGGCAGGCCTTGTCTGGTGAGTTGATGATCTCGTAATAAAAAACGGAGAAGTTGAGAGCAAGACCGAGCCTGATGGGATGTGTAGGCTGCATTTTTGACTTTGCTATGTCAAATGCTTCTTGATATGCTTTCTGTGAATCCTCGACTACCGCTGTAATGCAAACCGGGAAATCCAGATTACAATTCCTCCAAATTTATACGTAGAATGTAACCTCTCCTTCTGTCGCGATATATATGTAAAGGGTAGGGAATACAGGAATAAAATGGAAAGAGGAAAAGAACATGAGCAACCATTTCGCGTAATTTTTACGCGAGACATTTACAGAATTCGTTACAGTGTTCGTGAGTGTACTATACGGTTGTGAAAACAAAAGAAACCACCAGAATACAAATGCAGAACAAAATTGAAAAGTGCCTTTTCCTTCCTTTCCCATAAAACAGAATATTATTATTTTTGCCTCCACTGCATCAACACCATCCTTTCGCATCTTCTCTTTCGTGATTGCTGTTTAGGTCTAGTATCGATATTTGTATCGACCCTCGTTTTTGTGAATTATACCTGTTTGGCCAGCTGGCAGGCCTTGTCTGGAGAGTTGAGGATCTCGTAATAGAAAACGGAGAAGTTGAGGGCGAGACCTAGCCTGATTGGGTGGGTAGGCTGCATCTTTGACTTGCTGATTTCGAACGCATCCTGGTATGCCTTCTGGCTGTCGTCTACCACGGCTGAATATATTATGTGCAAAATTATCAACAAAATGTCAACGATTTTAAAATTGTTGATATTTTGAATTTTCAACTGATTTTGTCTCGATACATGATTATCTTTAATGTTTCATAAATAATAATAACAACATATTATAATAATATTAATAATAAATAAAATATAAAAAACCTAATATATTTCAATAATAAGTTTCAATCTAATTTTAAAAGAATACTTGCATATTATTGTATGAATTTTAAATCAAACTTACAAAAATGCAACGAAATTAATAAACATAAATAACATTCTTTATCATTATCGAGAAAAATACATGGCATTAAATTCCACCAACGCTTTAGAATTATTTTTCTGTTCAAATATATCACTATATAAAAATAGTCTGATATATGATGAACAATCTTGGAATTTTTCAAACCTTTTCGAATTTAAGAATGTAACAAAACAGTAGATTCAGCAAAGAACATCTGCCATTGCAGCTGTGCTTCCTTTTCTCTGAACTATAGCTACGGGAACGAACGCAGGTACGAAAGTATTGTGCGATAGCTTTCTATTCGAAGAAAAACGCACATTGATCCTCTCGTACGAATTCAATGTCACATTATAGACAAAAATATCTTCGACTGGTTTTATATCTTGATAAGATATAGTGATGCAAAATAAAAAAAGAAAAGAGAGACAAATTCCCTGAATTATATCAATCCTTTCTTAAGATTGTCGATGAAGAATTAATTTCAGCTATAAATGATTATTAATCAGGATCCGTAAAATTTGTAATTGTGAAGGCGTTATTAATATTATGTGTTATTAAATACATACCATTTCTAGTTTCTCCGGTAGCAACTTCTGCGAGATACCTGTAGTAGTCGCCTTTCATCTTGAGGTAGAATACTTTACTCTCGGCATTACTAGCCTTGGGGATCAGGTACTTGTCAAGGAGTCCCTGGAACATGAAGACATAATTAATTTCTGTTTTTTTATTAATTTTTGTATGTACTAACTTATGTATGTAGCGCAAAACAAAGATAAAATAGAAATAGAATAGAAATATATGTAAATATTATATATAAATATGTGAATAGATAGAATGCTAAATGTCTTATAACAGATATCTTTTTCCATTTTCCAAAATCAATATCATTTGCATTTGTTGTCATACACTTGTTTTATTTAAATCAATTAGATTTAGATACTTTTTAGACACTTCAGATTAATCCTGATTCAGAAAGATATTCTCTTAGAAGTGCTGGAATAAACTTTGTTACGCTTGCTAAACGATGGGAAAGGATAGTAAGACGAGCTACTAGACGATGCGAGTGGTAACCAAGTCATATGAAATTCAAACCAATGAGTGATTTTTATTCTTCAACTATAGAAATATGCAAATGCGATAAAAAGGATCGTTCGGTATAAGATAATCAGTTGACAAAGACAATAACTGCTTTGCAAACACATTAAATCCATCATGTCAAAATGTTTCAAGATATCTACATATCGTAATCGATCGCATGCATCATGATCGATTTTCCAATGAAAAGGAAAAATATATATAAATTCATTATTTTTTTTATTTATATATCGTCAAAATTGTAACAATAAAGAAATAAAAATAAATTCTTACCAATACATCGTAACAGATTTCACGTAGCTCCTTCTCGACCTTTTCCCGGTATTCCTTGGCCATTTGCTGTTTACGCTCGGAACCTTCAGTTTTCTGCTCAATGGAGGAAATTACTCGCCACGAGCTACGTCTTGCGCCAACGACATTCTTGTATGCTACCGACAACAAGTTCCTTTCTTCGTTCGATAACTCGACTCCCGTTTCGGTGACTGCCTTCATTGCGGCTGCCATATCATCATACCTTTCTGCCTGCTCGGCAAGCTTTGCACGCTGTACCAATTCTTCTTTGTCCACAGACATTCTGTTGGCTAAAAAACAAAAATCTCGAATATATTGTGTGTATATATATTCGACATATAATCACAGAAAATTTAATTTGTAATAATTCGTAATAAATTCGAAAATATAAAAAGAAATTGTTTTAAATCCGAAAGGAGAAGGAAAAAGGAAGAGAGAAGCGTAACGCACATGTAATACAAATGTAACGGTGCAACACAGTTGAATTAACACGCGACTTCAATGTCGTCAAGTTCCTTTTCTCGTCTATCCGGGAGTCGCTGGTACGCGTGTGAGAATAGATTTCACCGACGCGTTTAGACACAAGATGACGTATATAAGTACACGAGCTGCACACGCGTTGTCCAATCTAACTGGCCTCGTTCGCACATAGCATCATAAGCATTAGCAAATTATTATATTCTTTATTCTAGAATCTACGAAAAGAATTTCTTTTCCCAACGATTCTTTGTAAACAGCTGTTTCTATTAAAGTGCAATCAGAAATATTTCCTTTTATCTGGTATGACCACCTAACGATCATTGACAATAGATTTACCCGAAAGAGAAGTTTAGCTTTTGCCGACCTTGACCATGAACGTCGTGCATTTTTAACATTGAATAAAAAATTTTTACTTTCCGAAGATCAATAGAATCAAAAATCGAATACATTTCACTGATAATATATTTTTTATAATCTTTTCCTTTTATGATCAATCAATTGTGTTAAAAAAATATATAAAACTATTCTATTAAAAACTAGAATTTTTAGTTAATTCTTTTGATATTTTTCATTTAATCACTTATCTAATTTTTTTCATTCTTTTTTATTCCAATTTATATTTAGTCATATTTAATTAGAATTTTATTTAGAAAATTGAAGGGAAACAAATAATTTTAATAACAATTAAAATTTTATATAAAATGATCATTCCAAATTACAAATATAAAAAGAACACGATTCCTAATACACTATGATCTTTATTTACGTAGATATAATCATATAGCAGCGATGAGTCACTGGATTGGACCGCGTTACAACGCCAAACCGTAGTAGGCACACGTTTAAACATCTCGACTTCTTTTAACACACGCTTCACGTTCGTCGACCATGCGCGCATACTTCTCAGAGTTTCGTTTTTGTACTTTTATTTTACGTATTTTATTTCATTATTTTCAAATTCGATAGTTTGAATGTTAATTTATAAAATATTAAAGATAATGGAGCATAATCAAAAAATATCTGAACAGAATACACGATATCAAATTCTTACATTATGGCGCCCAATTCTTCCCCAATGAGTCACAATGACGAGAACATTGCGACGTAACTAAATGTTATATACATTAACATACACACATGGTAATTAAAATTGGTTCAAGAAGTAACAAATCGCGATTATACGCCAAATGCGAATACTATTCACAAGCTTTTCCATGAATGTCTTACGTTTCATTTGACTTTACGCAGAATCGTTTTCCATTCCTTTTCGTATCGATCATTCTCCTTTCTTTCTCGTACGCAAATAGCGCGCAAACTCCGTTCAATTCATTTCGAAATCTTGAAATCTAAAGAGAATCAGTCTAGACGAAAGAAACAATTTTCACATTATGCAAAATAGATTAATCATAATGCAGAATCGTTTCATCATTGATTATTGAACTATCAGATTAAACGTAAGCGAAAAACGATATTGATCAAACAAAACAATTCTATATAGTAATTTTTCTTCACACAATACGACTATGGGTCACTTTACTTCCAACATTATAAAAAACTTCAAATTGTCATAAAAAAATAAAACTTATTTTATACTATATGCAATGCCGATCAATTGTATGCGTTTGAAACTTGTTGAAAGATATATATTGCTTGTTAAAATGTCGAAACACTGTTATAGCGTCAATCGTTGGTGTTCAAGGTGAGTATTTTAAAAGCTGGAACGCAACGATCGATCTAATGTGTGTACGATATGTGTGTCCGTTATTAATTCTTCGAATAAAATATCTATACTGTGCTACTTACAGTGGCAACGAACAACGGTGTTTTACGTATGAATTGATAAACATACATATTATTACGCAGATGTAAAGTTCTTCCAAGCAATTAATTCTAATATATGTATATATAAATTTTCGAATGTATAAAAATGTTTACAATGCTAATTATATAGAAAAAAATTGATTATGTATTGTTATTGTCACAATTGTTTAATACAATAGAATCTTTAAGAACATCAAAAAAAAAGAATTTTTTATGTCTTTTAATAATAAACAAAAAATAGATACGATTTTCATATATTTTCAAATTGTGACATTCAATACAGACTAATACAAAATAATATCGGATAAGATCTATGGAGGATGGAAGAACTAATAAAAAAATATGCTGTTCACGTAATATCTAAGATTAATCGTAGATTATAATCAGCGCTCTCGCTGAAAATCATATTGATATGCGAATATTCAATATAATTTTATTCAATCGTGAGCTTATTAATTGATCGAGATTCAATTAAATATATCGAATAAATGATATATATTGATGTAACTGATATTGAATAAAATACAATGAGATCATATAGATTTCTTGAAAATTTTGTATTATTTCATATAATACTTATCATTGCACGATTATTCAATCACGATAAATATGATTTATGTAGATCAGATGGAAGGTCAAGTAGCCAAATTCTTCTTCGAAGAAACCCGGACGGAAATATTAAACCGGTAGGTGTATTCGACGTCCTATATTTAATCGCGCGCAATCACCTGGCTTTAGGTTAGCAGAGGCTCAGCGACACTGTTGCCAGATCTACAAGAGAATCGATGAGAAATCCCATGTTGCCAGTGAAATATTTCCGGCGCAAATTTTTCAAGCGAATGGAATATGACGAAACACAAATACTTAAGTTAACCTCAAAGCTTTTCCTACGTACGTAATTATCATAATAAATATTCACATGATTTTAGTACATTAAAATCTTTGCTTATTACTTATTTCAAAATAGATCATTTTTTTCTTTTAAAGTTTCCTTACACATCTATTTTTCTTTTTTGAAATATTACATTGATTTTCCACTATTATCCATTTTGTATAAACTTCATCATTATTAACTACAAATATGATAATGATAAAAAAATTACTACAATGTAATTAGTACAATCGATTAAAATTATCTTAAAAATTATATAAATAAAAAATTATATTGAGACAAAATTATTAGAAAACATGATTACTTCAAATGATTTGATAACTGAAAGCAATTATCGAAATGAAAATAGTTAAAGATAAAGATGTCGCATGTATTTAAAAAAATGTGACATCCTTATTACATTGATAAAAATAAAAATTTTATCAGGCTTTGATTTATCTATATATATCTATATTACATTATATTATACTTTCTACGATAAAATACTTTTTTTTTCAACATTCTTTGCTTATTTTTTAATTATTAGTTCTGGTATTTCAATTAAAAAATATTTTGCCAAAATTATAATAAATAAATAATAGAAACTCTAAAAAAAATTAATATCGACTTTATAACTCAAATACAATCAAAAAGCGAAAATATTTAATTTAAATACGTAAAGTGGAAGCTTCCGTGGGAGGTGAGGAGCAAAGCTCGTATTAGGCCGAAGGTCACATGCGCGAAACACTTCAAAATAAAAAAAAAATTGCGTACATTTATCAAGTATGATTTGAGGTTATATTCGTAGTCGCATAGTTGAGCCGAAGAGGGAGCAGTCAAACGGAGCGCCACGGCGCTACTTTCACGAAGCGAGAGCGAAATTCTTCATCTACGTTCGCTCTCTTTCCTTCTTTCTCTCTCCTGCTTAACACGCCCTGACCCCGAAGCGTTCTAAACCGTTCATGTCGCGATATGGACAAGAACAATCCGAGGACAAAGAAACCAGGAACAGGAACACCTTACTTCGGTGAAAAAGTAATTGGCATCATCGCGGAAACTATACCGATTCATTTCTGCGTCGCAATATAATACCGCAGAAATCGATAACCAATTCACTCTCCTTCTCGGTCTGATTATAGAAAAACGCGATATTGAAACAAAATTTCTAGCACATTCTCGAAATATTAATGTTCTAGAAAATAGTTCAATAAAAAAATACGAAAATGATCATTTATGTGACATGCAGAGACAGAAAGAACAACTACGGAAACTGGAAGGTGAACTGGAAGAAAAAAAAAAAGGGAGGGGGAGATAGATAGAGATAGAGATATAGATAGATATATAGATAGATAGATAGAAAGAGAAAGAGAGAGAGAGAGAGAGAGAGAGAGAGAAGGAAGATTTAAGAATCGAGAGAAACTCGAAATAGATAAAGCGTCATTAAAGCAGACGCATAAGATAGAAGCAAAGCAACGAATTGTTGCAGAAATCTTACCTATAGTTAAAGTTTTTTGTACAATAAATACTTAAATAAATATACGATCAGCGTATCCCGTAATTTCACGCGAAATTAGGAAGGGGGCCGAAAATTGACTAGACTTCTAGTTTTTTTTGTCTGGGGGGTAAAGAGCGAGAGCGTATTACGCGGAGAAACTACGCCGGGTCTTTTTCCTCAGTCACACTCAGTTACGGTACCACACATCCCTCAGTGACCACTCCCGCACAACGACTGAGCCGGCAACGCTGCTCGTGGTGGGGACTCGGCGTGCCTCGTGCTGGGACTCGTCTTCGTTCGGTTCTAGTCGTCTCAAGTCGGTTTCTCTCGGTTTACCTCGTGGCCGAGCCGAAGTATTGATCGGTTCGCCCAGCATGGCCGGCTCGAAGAGGTTGGGTGGGGCAGTGCCGCACGGCTGTCCCTGTCCCGGGACGCCAACCACGGAATATGATGCGTCGTATTGGACTGCGTAACGCAACGCAAAAGTGCGTTGTATATTATGCTTATGCCTCTCACACTTTCCATGTCTTTTATATGCACTGTCCTTTTTTTTTTCTTTCTTCCTACTATATATTATCCTTCCTTTTTCCCTGCAAACGAATCTTTCCATGTGATCTTGTTCTAATCATTTCTGAATTAAGTCAATTAGGCAAGCATTTCTTTCTTTCTTCATTTTCTTAATTTAAATTTTCATTTTTTCTTAATTATTTTAATATCTTTTATAAAACATTTTTCTTCCATAGTTCTCTCAAAAAATATGATAGAATTTTAAATATTAAATATTTCAAATTTTTTATTATTATGCATTATTATAAAACTTTTTTTATACATTATTATAAAACAAAGTTAAAAATATCAAGTAATAGATATTATTTGATTTCACTAAAATATAAATAAAATATAAACAATGAAAATTGATGTAAAAATTAAATTCTTAATGAAACGTAAAACACGTGCATAGTCACGTGATATACAGTTTTTGCCGGTGAATCATTTGGAAATTATACAATATATTTATTAATTACAACATATAAAGCTATTGATTGATCATTTCAATTAAGTTACATTTATTTTATAGATAATAATAGATTTATAGATAATAATTTTAATTCTAAATTGTGTATTAACAACGAAATTCTCAAACTTTCTTCAAAATTTATTCGCTTCATTTATTTATCATTTGCATCGATTATAAGATTTCTATTATTTAATTAATTTGAATAAAGGAAGAAATAAAGTAAAAAAGAGAAAACCAAGAAGAAAAATAAGAAAGAAAAATGATTTAGAAAGGATATATTTCTATCAAAACGAACTTCACTCAATAAGGAAGAAGAAACGAATAGAGAAGATTCGCATCAATGAGTGAAGAAAGTAGTAATTATAATGAAATATAATAGTTGTATCGAAAGACGAGCGCAAAAAAATAGGTAGATAGTCTTTGTCTCTAACTACCCGCTCCCCCGGTTGGCGAAGCTAAAATGAAATATTGATCTGCGGAGGCGCGCGCAACCCCTGCAACCGACCCGCCCTTCTTCCTTGGTCACCATTTTCAGTTGCTCACCCCCATCTCTTCTAACCCCTAACTGTTTTGTCATTTTCAAATCTTATAGAAATAATTTATTTTTGGAATAATAATTTTTTTCTTTTTTGTTTGATCTTATTTTTCAAATTTGATAAAAAATTTAAGATTTTTTCCAGACGTAATATATATTTTTTATCTCAATTGTTTTAGATAGCAATAAATAATCGAAAAAATAAAAAACAAGTTCAAATATTATATTCTTTTTAAGTTTTTCGTTTATTTAAAAAACGATGTATTATTTCGAAATTGAGAATATGGAAACAGATCAATATCGCCGAATTTGGTTTACTCTTCGAATATATTCAATACAAGCATTTAATTTGAAACAACAGATAGTTTGATTGAAAAAAATAAAACAAACTAGCTTCATATATTATATATGTATTGAATTATTGAATAAATCTGATTTTTACGATCAACTATCGATCAACGTATGTATATACAAAGGAGCTTATGGTAATGCGTATTCGCATCAATTCAATCGTTGTTCAAATACTATATGTGATAAGACTCAATATTGAATAACTAGGATCAAAGAAATTACAACCAATACAAAATGATTTTTTTTAAATTTTAATATAATGTGCTATAAATTATTATATCGAGAATTATCGAGAAATAATAATGATTCGATTATTACTTTAAAAAATTATTAAATTTATTTCAGAAACTATATTAATATAGTTTAAATTTTAAGTTATATAATGGGATAAAAAATATATAATTATAAATGACGAATGTTTGAAAATCGATTGAAAAACATTTTAAACCAGATTATAATAAATTATAATAAATTAGATTATAATAATTCTAAAAAGATGTAGAGATTGAAATGCTACATAAAAATATGTATTGACACATGACAAAATTATGTATCATGTATAGAAAAAAAAAAAAATTACAAAATGCAGTAAAATTAAGAAAAACCATTCAAGCAATGTTGACTTATAATAATGTCTTATAATAATCTTATAATAATTGTAAATATTATAATTTTAGATTTCTAGATATAAGATTAACGAGCTAGAAAAACAATAGCTTACTATGTAATATAAAATCATTTCTAAATGAATACTTCAATGAATGAAAAAAAAATGTTAGATATAAATAATTATATTGTTTAATGAAAAATGATATTATTATTATTCGAATTAATTTCCGATCTACTATTATTTTCTTTAGCATCTTCAACTGAAAAAATATTTAATAAAAAAATGAACTATTTTCCGCAGAATGTTGGCAGCAACCGATAAGGTAAGAACTCGTTTAATTGTTGGTTAACCATGAACGAGTTTCTCGTTTCGCGTGAAGAACCAACTTGAATACGCTTTTTTGAGATGATCAATACAAATATATAAAATGAAAAAAAGAAAAAGAAAAAGAGAAAAATATACAAGCCATCGCAGATCCAGGAAGCTGTTAGGTTAACTGTTACGACACTGATCTTACAATATGACACAGACTATCTCGAAAACAAAAATTATATTTTTCAAGCTTATATATCCAACAAAATTTTCAATTACCTCGTTTTCAAATCATCGAGTTCAGCCAGTAGACTCAAGGATATTTCATTATTGATTTTCAATAGTACATGCTCCATACTATTTTTATTACTGGATTCCAAGAGATTCGATTTAAGAATCTTGTGAATCCATTAATGAGCAAATATATGTTAAAAATACAAAAAATAAGTAATGAGAAAAAGTTAGAAGCACTTACACATATGGAAAACATTTCCTCTCTACCCATGATGCATACATAAATCGAATATGTGAGATGTGAGAACAGATTAAATGTTCAAGACATCATCCATATAGCGAAATATAAGCTAGGTTTGCAAGAGAAGTACGACTTGCTACAGGTGGTAGAGTATAGATAACGCGTGAGGGTGATGCTGCTACCGAATCTCTCCCACAAAAGAAAGCTCTTTAGAAAAATTTAAGGTTATGATTCTTAATATTAACTTTCTAAAAGCTTATTATTTTTTTAAAATATGTATTTAATAAAATTAAAAAAAAAAAAAAAATTAGAATTGAAAAAGTCGCGGAAAAATTTGCACTTGTTTAACACATTGTCCTTGTTGGCGCGATACGACACGGCATTACAATACCGACTAGCTTGCGCAATCGACGTAGCAAGTATACGCTTTTTCACTACCATTCACTCGTTTTCTACTGTCATATTGAATATTTTCATTCATTCACAATGAAATCTTACGCCAACTTGACTTGATGTAAAACAATTGACCGTAATCAATCAAACTTGTTTCGATTTTTACTTTATTTCACAAATTTTTTTTCAATTCGTTTAGTCACAATCTATAATCATTCTCGTTGATTTCATTCAATTTAACTCGAATTACATGATGTTTGTATCGAATATATAAAATCTTCGAATCGAATATTACTTAGTCATCTTGCGATATAAAGAATAAACAATGTCTTTCATGTTCTCCCATTGAATTGTAACTAACGACACTTGAAAAAGTACTGCAAACAAGAAGTATATTTACGTTATACGTTAAAGGTGGCGCATACGCGATGAATTCACGCGAGTTTCTGCGTCAGCCGTCTTGGAATAGCAAGTGATGTCAAGCTCGGTGTTTCGATTTGGTTCAGTTCGTTCTTCTGACAAACTAAGCACATACATATTCTCATACGATAGTGAATATTTATTTGCTACATTGAAAAATGCTTTCAGAACATCAGAATTATCAATAAATTATTAATTTAGAAATCATCTATTATAAAACAAAAATATTTTAGAAAATTAAAAATCAATGAGAAAACGAAAGATAAGAAAATGGAATAATTGATATGAACGAAAAAGAAAACGAAAAATAATGCAAATGAAAAAATACAGAAATTAATTAAATCATATTAATAAATCACGAAAAAAAAAGAAAATAAAAACAAATAAATATAAATCATGAGGATAGATTTTTTTATCGTACTATTTTTTTTAAATTACAAATAGATCTACATAAATGCAAACAAAATTATAATAGTAATCAAACGCTAATTATATTTTATTTTTATTTTATTTTTTCATTTTTTATTGAAAACTAATTAGAAATTAAAAATGAAATATTAAATTAAAAAGAAAAGAAAACAGTCAACTCATCAAAATGTTAACGATAATATGAACAATCATATGAATGAACGAATGAACGAATGAACGATACACGCGATATTTTAATCGTAACTAAGATATCTTATTAACTAGCAAAATTCAATTTCCGATAATACACGATACTCATACCATGTTTCCTAGGATTTTGATCACGGCCAAACGATATCTATAATTATAGATCGTGATTTGTGCATTAAATATAAAAACTATAAAGTAAATATCGATAATATATCGATATGATCATATCGATAGTATTTAATTGTTTGTTTTAAAAAAAATTGAAACTAAATCAGAAAACTTTTATTTATATTATTCCTATAAAATTTTTATACAATTTTTAAGAATTTTTTTTATTTATCTAATTTCAACGATTTAGTGTTAGTTAGATTAAAAAGAATGCATTTTGCTGATGGTTATGAAGTCGTGGTGAATGACCAATTATTCGTAAATTCGTTTGAACGAATGAGTCGACAGAAAGCTTAAAAGCACTTTCGTCGAAGTAGCACTTAAATATATAGCTTTATAGTACATACGGATATTGTGATATTCTTCCTTCTCGATCTAATCATCTATCTCAATCTAATGCTTTAAATTTTGAATAAGAGAAAACTTCTTTTTGTTGGTTAATTTCTTGAATACAATGTTAATCAACAAAACGCTAGTACATTGAGATCATCTTCAATTTACAGCCACTTATTAATCAATAACTACATTCAACAATTGTGAAATTCTCATGTATATAATTCTCAATAATCATATATTTCTGTACAATTTTTACTTCTGTTCAATCATATTTTCATTTAAAAATCTACTTTAATCATTAAAATTAAAAAATATTGAAATGATGAGAAATAAATAAGAACAAATGAGAGATGATCAAAAAAAATAGAAAGGCAGATAAAATATTGACGTGTATTTTACAATTGAAATTTTACCAAGTTCCGAAATGAAATAAAAAACATTTCAATATGAATAACTTCTTTTAATTTCAAATTTTTTTAGCTTAGACATTTTTAGCTTTTAACATTTTTCCTTGTTATAGAACAAAAATGATATTTAACTTCAAACAATCGTTCTTTTCAATTAACGTAAACAATAAAATAATGTAATTGGTAAATTTAAATAACACGAATAAGTACAAATATAATAAATATAGCATATATAATAAATAAAGTAACTTCATTTCTTAAATGAATACATATTAAAGAAAAGCTTATAGAACATATCATATGATATCGATCGAGCGAACATGCAATGAAAAGTTGAAAAAGAACATTATGATACGCGCATTATTATTATTGTCAATGTTGATTAAAAAATAAATTCCATCTTAATTCATATTGTTTAAGAATCAAGAAAGATTAAGAAACTGAATTCACAATTCTTCACTATGAACAAACAGCTAATTTTTACTAAAATTACCAATTAATTTAAATGTTACATATTCTACTCAAATGATTACGTATATTCAGTAAATGAATGTGAAAACTATATAATAGTAATATTATGATTGTTTTTACCTTTTTTACTTAGTGAAATAAAAAAATAACCTACGATATATTTAAAAAAAACACATAGAAAATACTATCAATAGCATATATTACAATAGCATATATATCATATTTCATTTTTCATTGAGACTGTATAAAATTCAATTACATATTATTTCAAAGAAATGGACGTCTACGTACGTGTTATACCGGTCGATAATAATACGCCACATAAAAGAGAATAATTCATTCTAATGCATGAAAACTAAAATTTTATGTTATTATCAATGGAAACCTACATATAGAAATTTCAATATTTATTATCCAAGATATATTGAAAGATTATCGAAAAGAAGATAATCACTCATCTGTCAAAGGGCGTGTACTTGATACAGCATTTATATATCTTCAGTAATATCTTCTAATGGAAAGCGCATGTACTTTTAACACGACTTCAAGCGTAATCATGTGCAAAAGAACAAGCAGAATTTACTAAACAATGTATTTTTGATTTTTTCGAACCATATAAGAGATTAAATATTGCAAAAAAATCATTATTAACAATGAGCCAACATTTACACAATTAATTGTCATTTCAAGAAATTTCTACACTCAATGAAAACAGTTGCCAATATGTTAACTTATATATCATGCAAATATAAAATAAAATTATGTATGAAACCGATAATTTTCTAACATTTTATAGATATAAAATGTAATTTCATCACCGACTATATAACTAAGATGGCGACAATTATCTTGTTCGTTTAGGGCTGTCGCGTCGCGTGCGTCGTATCCGCTATGAGCGGCAAGTGACTACCTTCAGACTACCTTTTATCGCACCGCAGTTTAAAGAACTTTACTAAAATGATAATTCGTTTAATAAATGATTGATATAATATGTGAATTATGTAAAAATGCCAAAACGAATAATTTCAATTATAAAAATGTAACAAAATGAGTAATTTATAGGTTATTTCGAGCAACTTGGCAAAAAGAGAAGGGGACTGCATGGCTACGGGGTTCACACGACTCATGATCAATTACATTTCATATTATTTGCGACCGATATTTTAAAAGATATTGCTATAACTTCCATCTGTTTTTCACACTCGTATATAATTACGTTTGAAAAAAGACTCACCTTTAGAGTGTTACAAACGGCCTAGAAAATCGAGGCTTCGGCGTATTCGACAGCTCCCGTCCACTACGATCTCACAGAGTGCACTGGCGCAACGAGCGGAAGCCGCCATCTTGAACTGCGTTCACTTGACGCTTTCCGTTCATTCGAAGAATACTCGTTTACCGTTCCCGCCATTTCTGAAATCTATAGACAAATAATTTATTCATTTATATTATTTTCATCAAATCAATTTTTTTTTATTTTTTAATATATCTTTTATATTATTTAAAATATAGTTATAATATAATTATATACAAATGTATTAAATTTATCGATTAAATTATATGTATATGTATATTTATATTAACACAATGCTGACAAATCAGAAACAATTCATTCCATATTTCAATTATATTTTCAATTGATTGTTTGCAATCATTGTTTTAAAATTAATCTAAGCATTCTACAGTGTTTTACTTAAAATAAAGTTTGAAGAAGTTTATATATCAAGAATATTACACATTTATATTATATATATTTATGCGCTACTTGCATAACACATGTTGTGTGATTATTAATGTGCTTTGTCGATTTATTAAAAGTATAATTTTTAAAATTTTCTTGCTAAAGAATGCCTAAATCGAAAAGGGATAAGAAAAGTAACATTATTATTTTCATTAACAGTTTATTTATTTATTGTTTCATTTTATATCTTTAATTTTTATAAGTTAACCTAAAAATGTTTCACGTGTCATCAAATAATTAATAAATTTGTATTTCACAGTATCTCTAACAAAAACAAGTAAAAAAGGACTTGCCTTGAAGCAACAAATTGTGGAAGATGTTAGAAATTGTGTTGAAAAATATGCCAGGATATTTCTTTTATCCGTACACAATATGCGTAATAATAAACTTAAAGATTTACGTTCAGAATGGAAAGACAGCCGATTTTTTTTTGGTAAAAACAAAGTGATAGCATTGGCTCTAGGAAAGTCATCGGAAAATGAAGTTGCAGAAAATCTTCATAAATTATCATTAGCTTTAAGAGGACAGTGTGGCTTATTATTTACAAATAGAAGTAAAAAAGAAGTATGTATTTATTTATTAAAGAATTATTAATTAATGTAAAATTAAATATATATAAAAGTTATATTTATTTATTCATATTTATTAAGGTATTGAAATGGATGAGAGAATATGAGGAAATAGATTATGCTAGATCTGGCTTTATTACACAAGAAACTATAACATTACCTGAAGGTCCAATACCAGACTTTTCACATAGTATAGAACCTCATTTAAGACAATTAGGAATGCCTACAGCTTTACAAAAAGGTGTTGTAACATTAATCAAAGAATATACTGTATGTAAAACAGGACAAGCATTAACTCCAGAACAAGCAAGAATTTTGGTAAATATATTGTGATATATCTTATGATAGATATTAAAATCAATGAAATAACAGCTTTTTCTTTTACAGAAATTACTTGATAAGCCTTTAGCTACATTTAAATTGATACCATTAGGTGTATTTTCTAAAAAATATGGATATAAACAATTTATATCTCAAGATGATACTAAAGAAAATTTAGAAGAACAACAAATGGCTATGGAAGAAACAGAAGAAATTGATATGTAAAAAAATATATATAAATTTATATATATATATATATATATACATAAATTATAACTTTCATTCTAATTTTATTAGAAAATTAGAACATTGTAAATTTTATTAGAAAAATAAACATATGAAGGTGCTTATAGACCTACATTTTTAGAAACAACTGATAAAATATTCATCATTAATGTATATTTAAAACATCAAAATTATGAAATTTCTCCTTTTCAATCATTATCTATTTAATAAAACGAAATAATGACGCTACCTCTATATTTTTCTATATTCTGGATTATTGGAGTTTTATGGGTAAATCATAAAATTGTTATATATAACCTATATAATACAAGATTAAATTTAAAATTATTTGCAATTATATTTACGTAGATTATTTATTATTGGTGCTGCGAAAATTCTTGTGATAATAATCGTAAAATAATTTTTGATGTAAATTCTGATAAAAGAAGTAGCACGATGTCCATCGATTCTTCGGATATATCTGATAATGATGAATCTGTAAAATGTAATAGAAAAAAATTAACATATGAGGTGCACGTTAATAAATTTAAATAAATTTAAAAAGTTTTATTTGCTAATATTTATACTTTATTTGAAAACATCATTTACTTACTTACTTCATTCATAACTATAATTTCAGACCAAAACGCGATGGCCAAGCAGAACTTCAATAAATGAAATATAATATGTATATATAACATAACAAAAATTTTTTTGTCATTAAAATAGCTTTATTAATATATTTGCATCTTAAACATGAGATATCATAAATTAAACAAAGTAAACATTGAAATTTAAATTTTTTAACAAGACCATTTTTTCATTAATTTGTGATTTATTTATTTATTGTTTTAAAAGCCACAAGATATATATTTTTATTACATTTGTATTTCATTTATAATTATATATTAAACAATAAACGAATTATATGGGAAATAGAAAATTATGAAAGAAACGCATCATAGAACATATGATACGAAATTTAAATTTTATCTGTTTAATTATGAGTGAATTAAACTATTATTTTATAATGTATCATATTAAATATAATAAAAACAGTGAAATGTAAAAAAATGTAGAGATATTGAAACATCATGTTACATAAAATAAAGTTATATTTATGAATCTAATGAATAGCAATATACTATAAAATTTTATCGATTATATAGAAACATGCTCTTATGTAAAATTGTATTTATTTTATAAATATTCATATGTAATATTAAGCAATGTTTATATTAATTGTAGAAAAAAGCATTCAAGATGTAATTTTGCAATTAGATTATTGCTAAGGAATGCTTTAACATTTAATAATTTATATGTTGAGCACATTCAAACAAAACTCATTTCTTTTGCATTGTTATGTAATATTTATAAAATATTATTAATAATATATTTATTATAAAAAGAATTTATATAAAGCAAAGAAACTAAATTAAAATTTATGATAAATTTTAAACTTAAAATAAAATTTAAATTTATTTGTACTAAAAATAAACGAGTTTAGGAAGAGCAATAAAAAAATACCAAAAATTAAATATTTGATTGCTTCCAAATATCATATAATAGGAATAAGAATAAACGTAATAACAATAACAAATATATAGATTGTTTTGTTATAATAGAATGATTGATAATAAATTTAGAAACTCGCAAATTAAAAAGAAAAAAATAATATTGTCATCTTCTACATTTCTTTTTTCTTATATCTTATTATTTTTTTCTCTCTCTTTTTTTTTGAAGTTATACCATTTTATTAAATATTTAATATTAAGCTATATAATTAGAATACAATACTGCATCGTCAAATAATTTGCATTTAGCATTGTCATGTTGTTAGTGTCAGGATATCAATGTTTTTCACTAATATTCATTTTTCAAGTAATAAAAATTCTTATATCCTACTTTTAACGTATACTTATTTTTAATGAGTACGAAACTCAAAATATTTTCGGTTTTATTCTTCAGTTTTCTTTGGTAGAACATAATTGTACTTTTGCATATTATAAAAAACATAATTAGATATTAAAATGAATGATATATTATTGTGCTATTTTTATCAACAGAAAATCTATGCTACTTAGTATAATTATTATACTTAATTATCTTTAGATGGTATAGTTTGAAAGACACAGGCATAAAATATATCATTGTAAAAAAAAAAAGAAAAAGAAAAAAATGACCATTCTAAAATACATTTACATAATAAAATGGAACTTGTAAATAGTTTCAAACAATAATAATTTTCTATAGGAAACTAGGCATACTTTCCATTGTTAATGTAAATAACGAATTTGCTTTTATACACTGTTATCGTCCTGACCTCCTTAGTATTTTGTTGAATTATATCACAATACACAAATGATTACATTATAGAATATGGCAATTTCACAGCACTCTAATTCAACAGAGATCTCATATAAAAATAAATAAGATTTCTTTAACGAAATTAATTCGACAAAAATATCAGCTAAAGTAATAGATATCTAAATTATATTACAAAACATTAAACTTTTATGTACTATGGTGATTACAATTAAATAATTCTAAAAGAAATTTTTGATGAAATATATATTAGAAAAATCGTGTATATGTATTACGCTATTTACTTTTTTTATTAATGGAACTTTGTAATATGATTTTTGTATGAATGAACTCATAAATTATTTTATATGCATGTTTATCACCATATTACAATCGATATTATATTAGTATCATACATTTTCAATTATCGATTAATAACATAATATATATCTAAGATCTAGAAAGATCTATCTATAAAAATTATTTTAAGCACAGCAAGTAAGCGATTTGAACTCTTCTTGAAACATATAATAGTGCAATAATCCTTATTGAAATATATCATATCCTTTAATATAATAATTTTACTATAAATTACGTTGAAAGCTAATTTAATGTTATTGATAACAACATAGCCCTGCTATTATTCTATTTCTGAGAATTGGAATGTATTTAAATTCAATGTAAAATACTTATTCTCCTTTTAACATTGATTCATGTATCACTTGTATTGATAATAAATTACTTTTATATGCATTTAACGTTATTCAAAGTCTACTGATCAATAAATAAAACATATCTACTAAGCCTATAATCACTTATATAAATCTATTTCAGAATTGCATCGATTTAAAATTTAAGAATTTTTTTTTGATTATGTCCCATATAACATATGAAATATAAAAAGTGATTAAGAAGAAACTATCATTATCTAATTATAAATAAAATGTATCTGTTCTTTTCTTAGAATAAAAATTCTAAGTAAAATATTTTTACTTATGTGATTTGTCTTTGAGTATACAGTTCTTCCAATGATGGTACTTCCGGTATTGGATCTCGCCAATATACAAAATTACTAAATTCATCTGCGGCATCCTCTCTCCAAGCTGGGAAAAGATGGTCGACAATAAAGCTCATATTTGAATATCTGAAAAAAATAATAAGATCAAATTATAAATATTGGATTTATTATGTTATATTGCGGATTTATATTTATTATATTTATTAATAAAAATAAAAAATATAGTATAGGATACATGTCAAATGCACAGTTATAGATCGCATTATTATATATGTATATAATAAATTCTGCTAAAACATCAATACTGAAATTCTGATGAAATTGCATTTTGTGATCTTAACAATGATTTCATTTTAACATAAATATATACAGGATGTCCCATTAAGTAACAAAATCTTAACTAACAAAAGTTTTTTCGTTAGTATAATTATGGATATCAATGAATTTATTATGGGTAATATAGTTTAAATATTTATATACAATTTTGCAATACATATAATATGTTCGAAGTACTTGGTTGAATATTTGTGTATGAACAAAAAAAAAAGTAAAATTTTGCCGTACATAAATCCATAAAAATCTTTTTTATAGATATATGCATATAAAATAATATCAATATTATACATGAAATAAAATATTATTTTATTTATATAATATTTATATATTTTAAATGATGAGCCTAATATCATTGAAGATGAATGAAAATGGAAATGATAAGAAGCAATTGTGTAATAACCAGTGCTTACCCTATAAGAATTATAAGAAGATAGATAGCAGTTCTTGCACAACCAAATACCTCAAAGCATACTAATAAGATCAAATTAAAAAAATAAAAAAAATATAAATTAATTTTTAATAATTTTTTAAATAAAACAAATAAACTAATAATAATAATAAATAAAAAAATAAAAAAGAAGAAAGATATTGCCATTGGAAAAATCTAATTGTGCATATACTAATATTTTTTTTAACAATTTTTATATAGATTAAAAAAAATATTATATATAAAAAACACATTATAATATGATTATATAATTATATGTTAATATTATACAATACTGTATTCATATAGAATATATATTCATATAGAAAATATGAAATATATTCTTATTTTGATCAATTATAATGAAATTATATTAAAAAATTGTAAATATTATTAAATTTATAGAATAATATAGTGCATAAAATAATAATCCTGTTATATATATATGAGGTAGTAAATTTGTACATATCAAATAAAAAGAGGTCCAATGGCATAAATATATTGTTTATAAAGATTATTAATTTAAGCATTATCAATTGGACGAATAGAATAAAACAGCTATGGTTGTGCCGCCATCAGTAGATGATTCACATGGGCAGTGGCGGGAACAACTCATTGACGATATCGCACTGACATGCGTAACTGCAATCATAGAAATATCCGACCTATAAATATCTTTTTCTCAATAATCAATTTTCCTTTTTCTGCAAATTTGCTCTTTCCTAATTAATTGGATAAAATATAAATTTCGAATTTTTTTTACATCAAAATTATAAATCATTCTGCTTAATAAATTAATTTTCATTCATTTAACATACACATGTACAATTTTTAAAAGAAATTAAAAAAAAACATAAATATCTATATGCTAACATCTATAATGATTTAAGATTTTTAACAAAGATTTTTAATAATTTTAGTATTGTAGCAGAAATGAATATGTATTTTTTTTCAGAATAAAATATTAAAATTATTCTATAATATTGTGTAATATGTAAAATAGATTTTAAATAGGTTTATATGAAAATATAAACTAAATATCTATGCGCTAAAAAAATTAAATAAAATTGCTAAATTTATTATTACATTTATATGTTTGTTTATTTAAGAGAAAAGAAATTAGTAAAAACAATGGAAAATATATATATAATGATAAATAATTACTTACGAAGATTGGAATGTTTGCGTTAGTTCATGTTTTAATTCGCCTCTGTGATTTATAGTAAATATACGCATAGTTGGAATTCCTACAGCTCGATATGCCCAAACATCCTACGAAAAAAAAAAAACAAATATTTAATAAGATATTTCTTGAAAAAACTATTATATTATATTTCTCGTATTTCTTGAAAAAAATTATTATAAATTAAAATATTTACATTAATTCGATTTCCATAACCAGCATAGAAAGGTTTTGAACCTTCTGGAAATAAAGCTTGAATGTCACTAAGACATGATATCTTGAATTCTTCGGGTTTTCTCTCTATAACTTCACGGTGGAATGCTGAAATTAGACTTGTTGGATTTAAAAGTAATGGTCCATCAGGGAGTGACAAATCTCCTTGTCTAATACTCTTTAAATATTCTCTTGTAACTTTAGCTTGTCCAATCGCTCTTGCAGAAAGATATAATAATTTATAACCATTGTTTTTAATTTTTGTAAATAATTGAGCAACACCAGATTGAGCCCAATCTTTACCAACTATTG